AGTACGTCCATCGTCGTCATCTTACCATTTTTAATTATTTAGTTTCGTTTGCTTTAGTCAGAATTTTTGATGTTGCAAGAAACTCTTTCCATTTTATTCTGAAGCTCTTCCCTAAGCATTTACTTTGGAACGAGTTAAGGTTCTTATCAATTTCAGTTGTAGATTTCCATGCTTCTGCTTCATAAAAGAGACACAATGCTGATATTAAAAATTTGTATTTTGGTATACAGTAGCCAATCATGCTACTTTTCCAAATCTTTTCAAGCTTTTGAAAATTGTGCTGCTTTTGATATTCATTGCTTGTCATTACTGTACACATCACTTCCTAGTTAGGTAAAATGATTTGCTTCTTCTAGCATTTCTCCAGCTACTCTGATGGATGCTTTCAGAACATTGATAGCGGTATATTTTGTCTTCCCCTTGTTGATAAACAAATCAGCTTGTTTTGCTGTGCCTACCAAAAGCTGGGACTTTTCTTCAATTACAGGATATGTTAAACTAAACAGAACAATGTCATCAGCAAAAACGAGTGCTTCATCATTTATCCATAAAATTCATTAGTTGCCTTCTCCATGACATAGTCAATGACCAGTGCAAACAATAGTGGGGACATAATGCACCTTTGCCTTACTCCAATTATCACTGCAAACCATTGGTTGATGTTGTCACCATCTCTTACTACACACTTTGGTGTGTGTATGTGTTGCTTGTATAATATGTTTAGAAGGGGTTCTCAGACTTCATTGCACCATGACCCCCTTACTACACGATCCCAGGAGGAGGGACTGAGATCTGAGCCTGCCCAAGCCCACCATCCTAGCGGGGGGGCCAAGGCCGAAGCCTGAGCCCCACCACCCCAAGTAGGGGGGTCAAAACCGAAGCCCAAGGGCTTGTAACCTGAGCCCTGTCACCCACGGCTGAAGCCCTCGGGCTTCGGCCCCAGGCAGTGGGGCTCAGACTTTAGCTTCGGCTCTGAGTGGTGGGGCTTGGGTTTGGGCTGGGGCTTTGGCCCTGGGCTGTGGGGCTGAGGTTTCGGCTTCTGCCCTGGGCCCCAGCAAGTCTGTCAGCCTTGGTGACCCTATTAAAACAAGGTTGCAACCCACAGTTTGAGAACTGCTGTGTTACAGCATCAGCATTGACACTGAACAGTCAGGCAAGGAGGCATGCCCCTTGTCTTGAAGGGCGTACAGATGACCAAGTAAAGCCTAAAATTCACAGAATGCAGAGCACCACAGGACATTTTCTTACAGCTGGACTCCAGAGCATGCACATGTTACACACCCCTGTGTGAGCACCTGAAATCCTGCCTCCTGCACAGCTGATCTGCACTGGATTCCACTGTGGTTTTTACCTGCAACCATTGTGGGAAGAGGTGTGGGCAGAACATGCCCATAGCACCTATCATGGAGGATTGCATACCACAGTGAGAACAATGTATATTAGGGGTCACTCACCCACCAGTGAAAGGCTAGTGTGGACTATGCAGTCATTAGATGACAGGAATGGTTTTTAAAAACAAAAGCAAATAATTAACGTCTCCAAATCAAAATACAGAGGAAATTTGAGATAGGCAGAATGTGATTAACCAAGCTGGAATTAGGCAGGACACCTATGTTACTACCTCAAATCTTGCAAATAGGGGGAATTTGTAATGTCTGAGCGGTCAGGCCCTTTTTATTTTACATATCCACCAGGCAGTATTTCCATTAGCACTGTACCACCTATCACCACACTAGCGTTGGTTCAGTATTGGTTCCATTCTGGTTGGAATTCTGTCTATTGAGTCTCCAACCATATTTCCAGCAGCACCTAGTTTTATCCTTGAAAGTCTCCATTTAAGTGTGGATAGGCATGATTCTACTCAGGCTGTGAAGTGGTTTCACGGAGATGAGATTTTAATAAATCTCTCTGTGTTTTTGAAGAGGGTGGACTAATTCTAGAAGACCCAGATAGCCATCTTGATTTTTTGTGTCTCTCAGTCTAGTACCTTATTTAATATATAATCAAACATTTCAAGTAGACACAGTGCATACTTCTGTAACGGTAATGCATGTTATGATGCCAATAAATCAGCATTCCTAGGGCTATGATGTCATTCTTGGATGTATTGAGAGCACTATTTGCAGGATTTAGTCAAAACAGGGTGGCTTTTTCAAAATACATAATAAAAATTACATTTGCCACTTTCCTCGACCTACCTGTTTGGGGGACCCCCCATTTTTGTTGAGATATCTGCCACATCTTTTACTTTTATTAGAAGAAAGGAACATAAAACAGATTGCTCATCTTATTGTCTCCTAGATATAAACTAACAATAACAGCTTCAGAAAGATAGCCACCATCTTCCCCTAAATAAAGGCAAATATCTGCTACATCATCCCTTTATTTTTTGGTGTGGAACAAAGATGGTAAAATGGGGCTGGATGAAATATGTCTGTCTCTTCTAAGCCAGTAGAACCAAGAGAAAATATATGTGGTAGTCAGATGCACACTGCATTTTCCCTAACTTAAGCACACATGTAGGGGAATATGTTATCAAAGGGAGGTTATAAAATAAACTGTTTTATTTGCAGTCACAAAAAAGTCAGACTCAGGAAATACAGGCTGTGAAAATAATATAAAAGGATTATTAAAGAAAAATGATAGTCATCTATTGATATTGATGTTATCTGTTATGAAGAATGCCCTAGAATATTAATTTACTTGAGTTGTTCGTGCATTTTTTATTTTCACACTTTTCTGAATCATGCTCAAACCATGCCCAATTGTTGTTAAATACCTTTTAAAAAAATCCATATGGTGTCAGTCCCATTACACAAAGCAGCATAGTAGTTTACCAGACAATTTTCACTAACACAACTCTGGGGAAAGAAATGACACAAACAAGTTAATGAGGTTTAAACTAATTATGAGGTGACAATAGTATTATTGAACATAAGATAATGAGTGGAAAATTCATGTTCCAATAAATGCTATTCTTAACCTTGTGACGAATACCACACAGATGAAGATTTAATGGTGACTTTTTCTCCAGGGCTACCTGTGTAGAGCAGTCTCTCTAGAACAGCACTAAATATTGTTAAAGGGGGTGGAGAGAGAAAAATGGAAACTGTTGACAACTAGGGGCTTGTTACAATCTACGTCCCCATCCTATAAAAATGTAGGCATGGGCTTTACTTTAAGCAGATGAGTAATCCCATTTGACTTAACTCTGCATATATCTTTGCAGGATTGGGGTGTCAATATACAGCTTTTGAAAAATCCTCCTTAGTGACCTCAACAAAATGCCCATTTACAAAGACAGCTCAATGTGTGGATGTAGATATTTGTATGAAATCCACAGTACAAAACAGTATATATTGGGGGGAGGGGTGGGGGTTGAGTGACCTGTTCAGCTCTAATATATAAACTGGTTGCACTACCATAGGGATATTCTCTAAGTGAAATTATCTTAATTGGGCCTCTTTTTAATGGAATGATGTAGTTAGAATATACCTCCTCTCCCTCCCCATCCATAATCCAAATTTGAAATCATTTAAATGAAAACGTGATTTTTAACCAGACCATTCAGAGGCAAACACTGTATTTTTTTATGTTTAAAAACTCTGATTTAAATCTCCAAGTAGCAAATATTTCAGTTTCTTGGTAAATTGATTCTTTTTTATAAGAAATGCTGTCCTCCCACAGTTTTTTATTAACGTAAATTCTGAACAGTTAACTTAAAGAAGTGATTTTATATTTTACCCCAGGGAGGCTGTCATTTTGTACAGAATGCATTTCCTTTCATTCTATTTTGTCCTTTCTTGCCTTCAATGAAAAGAAGAAACTGGAGAATTTAAAGGGACACCCACTGTGATTCCTTATTTAAGTGCATCTGACACTCAATAACATCTTGTCTAGCTAGCACATAACTGAAACGGCCACCACATGAGATCAGTGCTGATTTGCAGGGGCTTCTGTGTGAATGGTGGATGGGAGTCATGGTGAATTTATTGGTCAGAATACATCTCCCATTTCCATCTTACACAATTATGGTACAGTAATTGTTGGCATCTTAATGTATGGGGATAGATACTGCCAGAGGAAGAAATAGTACTTGATAATATGGAGTGGATCTAAAATAGATACATGTTCCTTGGCATGGAGGCAATAGGAGTCCTGCCGGAATAAGGAGTTATTTGTTTATCCCAATACATTTCTATGACCGCCTTCTGCATGGTATCTGAACAATTCATAAACCATAATCAATTAAGTGTTAACTTCCTATCAAGCATGGAAAGTAATCCCATTTTACAGATGGAGAAACGGGGGCCTAGAGAGGTTGAGTGATTTGCCCAGGGTCACCCAGGAATGTCTGTCACATAGCCAGGAATAGAACCCAGCTCTGACTCTAGTCTTATGTTTTAACCACAAGACAAGCCTTCCCCATTACTTCAGGATTATGATCTGTAAAAAAGCAACACAAATTTTAAGGAAAACCTAACTTAGCCACTTATTAAGAGATAGAGGGGGCACCAAAAGGGCTTTGTAACCAGAGCCTAATATTTGCAATGGAATATGTTGCTTATTTTCGATAGGTCTTTTATCTTCTGTCTGATGACTTAGCTCTTTTACAGATACATTCACAGCTATGTATGCATATCAGAGCAACTGCTTTGGAACATGTTTCCCTAAAGCTGTACTGACTTCCCAAATCATTGTTATCCAGAGAAGCATATGCTGTTGGACTATGATTTGAATAGTCCTGGAAAGCATCTAGAACATGGTTTAAGTTAACTCATCTTTGAATCTCTTCTCAGTGCACATTTAGAAAAAAGTACATTATTTACTAAGGTCAGAGTAATCTGCTTTCATTAGCTCTGTATTTATTGTCTCTCAATACTGAGATGGTGATTTTTCCCGTAGTCATGAAGTACACAAGTTGTTTAATAATGAATTAAGTGTCTGTCAAGGTGTGTGTTTAACAAATACACGCTAAATAAATTGTGTTTTTTCATTAGATCCCTTTCAATTCTCCTCCAAAACCGAGCCTGCAAAGGAACAGACAGTTCAACCAGCTATAGCACGAAAGCCTACTGTGATCAGAATCCCATCTAAACCAGGGAAATGTAAGTCCTTCACACTTTTATTTCTTAGCTGAAGTTTTCAGATAGAGTTCAATAAAGAAATCATTTTATCAGAATTCACGACTGAAATACTGAATTACCTACAGCTAGTTACATTAACAGCTAGAAAAATCTTAGCCAAAATAATTTCATCCCTGTCCATATTAAACAGTGAAGTCATGTTTACATCTTTCTAGAAAATTGTAATTAAAGAATAGTTTATTACAAAGGTGCTAAATTTGTTTCTCTACCAAATGTAGACACTCCTATGGAAGCTCACAGCTTTTGTATTAAACTCTTTGTTAGTTTTCTAGAAAGATGTAAACATGACTTCATTGCTTAATATTGACAGGGATGAAATTATTTTGGCTCTAAAATCCACAGCTGTTCAAGTACTGTCATTTTGCTGGTGTTTTTAGAAATTAAAAAAAAAATAGCACCATAAACCTTGGATACGAAATGTGGCCTTTTGGTCCCATCTTGACCATTAACCACAATGTCTTCCATCTCCCAACCCATGCCACCAAGAGCCGACCCTGATCAGCTCTCACAAAGCTGGAAAGCTGCAGAGGAGAAGCATTAGATGTCTTGGTGTTGAAATCTTCTATCTATTGAGTGCTTTATTGCATGTTGCCAAGCTTCAGATTTAGTAAACTACAAATTTTCACCCTGGGGTTGCTTCCCAAAACAGAGGAATCATCACATCCCTAGGAGATGCACCCACCCAAAAATACAAGCAAAAGAGAGAAATAACCGAAGAGGCAATTATTAAAAGCATCTAAAAACCCACATACTTCTACACTATGTCAAATTTGTAGTAGCAGAGTGTCCTGCTGGTAGTGTTTTAGCCTCTACTTACATTTACATCACTTACTTCTAGAAGAGTGTTTAATTTTCCATAGAAACTGTAGTTTTGTAGGTAAGAAATGCAGTGGAAATAGTTAGAAAAATACAGAGAAAAGTTGTAAAAAAAAAAAATACTATATCAAAATTTGTAAGAACCTTTTTGGTTTGCACAATCACATGTACCCTTGACTGTAAGAGTCTGTCTAATGAAGGCAGATAAGTGTGTTCCACCTTCCCAGTGTAATTCTCAGGTCTCGATTGTTAATATGCATGTCCAGACATATTTTTTTTCTTTAGCTGCAAGACAAATAATACAGTCTCTTGCTGCTCTCTAGTGGCAACTGAACTGCCCTCAAGGGGCTTCAGTCATGTTCTGTCAGTTGGTAGAGGGGTGGGAAGATCCACTCAGCGAGAGACTGCAACTGGGAAAGAGATGGAAGTAAAGGGGGAAAGTGGGGTTCCCAGTAAGCAGAGTGGCCTGTGAAGCTCTTCAGATCCCAGAGTGGAGCCAACTATCCCTATTGTCAAATGTGAGCTGTTGCAAAACCTAAGGCTACATCCACACTGTGAGTTAGGAGTGTGATTTCCCCTGCTCATATACACATGCTCATGCTAGCTCTCCTTGAGCTAGCATGAGTATAAGTAGTAGTATTTGAGCTCTGGTCAAGTGAAAAATTCTCTAAGTTATAGCTGTGGTAGCACAGGTAGCAGTAGCAGAGGTGCGGCTTAGCCATGCCGCGTACAAATCCACGTGAAGCCGGTGAGTACGTACTCAGCATGGCTAAGCCATGTCTCTGCTGCCACTACCCATGCTATTGTGGCTGTACTGCTATTTATATGTATACGTGAGCTGGGAATTACACCCCTAGCTCATAGTGTAGATGTAGCCTTAAAGTCATAGAGCTTAAGGCCAAAAGGGACCACCACCAGATCATCCGTTCTGACCAGGCCACTAATGCTACTCAGCCACCCCTATGCCAAGCCCAACAACCAAATTTGGAACTAAGTATTACAGCCTTCAGGAGACTAAACTGTTATGTGCCACTGGGAAAGAACAGGAGGAACTGAGGAGCACCAATGTCAGAGAATTGATTTAGTGAGATAATATCCAGATAACCCTGGCAAATGACTGTGCCCACATGCTGCAGAGAAAGGCAAACCCCTTCCTACCGTCTCCCCAAGATCCCTGCCAATCTGACCTGAGAAAAAATTCCTTCCTCACCACACATATGACAATCAATTAGACTCTGAGCATGTGAACAAGAACCAGCCAGCCATGCTCCCAGAAGAGAGAATTCTCAGTATCACCTCAAAGCCCACGCCTTCCAGTGACCCATCTCCAGCTGTGGCCATCCCTGATACTTCAGAAGGAGGAGACAAAAAATCCAAACAAACCCTAGGCCAGGGGTCGGCAATCTTTCAAAAGTGGTGTGCCGAGTCTTCATTTAGTCATTCTAATTTAAGGTTTCGCGTGCCAGTAATACATTTTAACATTTTTAAAAGGTCTCTTTCCCTAAGTCTATAATATATAACTAAACTATTACTGTATGTAAAGTAAATAAGGTTTTTAAAATGTTTTAAGAAGCTTCATTTAAAATTAAATTAAAATGTAGAGCCCCCCGGACCGGTGGCCAAGACCCAGGCAGTGTGAGTGCCACTGAAAATCGGCTCACGTGCCGCCTTCGGCACATGTGCCATAGGTTGCCTACCCCTGCCCTAGGCTGTCATGGGTTTCAGTCTGACTCAGTTGTAGCTACAAAAAGGCCTTGTCGTCATACGGAGATTGGGCTGGGCTAAACCTCGTTGGAGGGCCCTGCCACCAGAAAAGATCAGGCCACAGTGGTTCAAAGTGACCTCTGCCCCACTTGCTATGGAGGGAGATGGCTCCTGTAGGGAGCCAACACAGCACAACAAATGAATAGCGCTGTCAAAAAAAAAGGAAAGGGTCAGGTGCTTAGGAACTTATTGATTCAGCACCTCCCTTCAGCAACTCCCAGTAACTGAGTTTCTGTGGAGGTCCAATTGGGAGTTAAAGCTGCTCCCCTCAAGTGTAAAACCTGAGAAGGAACAGAGATGAAAACTTCACCTGTCTTCTGATTTTTGAACTCTTAGGGTTGGCAATATTGTTTGTGGAAGGGAGGTGAGCGGAAAACTAGGCCATCTGTATCTGTATCAGGATTTGAAGGAGGTGTGTAAAAATAAATCTCTAATGCTCTTTTTTAAATCAGTGAGGTATGTTAAGAAGAGATTTCTCTCTTGCAGTTAATCCTTCTTTTAGTCCCCATCACATTGGCTTAGATAAGCAAGAAAGCTTTATTAACTTACCTCTTCTTGGCTCAGTCTCCAAATACTCAGTGTCTAAGGGATGGAATCGCCTTTGGGGTTTTTTGTTTGGTTTTTTTAAATTCCAATCCAGACTTTCAGGTCACTGAGATACAATTAAATGTTCTATGATAAATAAAATAACTCCACATTCTCTCCTGAGAGCTCCCTTCATGCAGTGATCAGCTGATTCATAAGATAAGACTCTAGGCCTTCAATTGGATGGTAACGTCTCACTTAGTCTTTTTAAAAATAATTTTAAACAATTTTAAATGTTTAGACTGTCTAGGCTGACAATAAGCATTTTTTACATGATTCTGAGCATGGGTAGAAGCCCAGCGGATTTAAAGAAGTGCCTCAGATTTTGTTAGGTGCGTCATTTGAATACACAAATACCCTGTAAAATAGGTTGAAAAATGTCCCAGTCCATATAGACACATTACGGATAAGTATATTGGCAGAATTTATGCAAACGTTTAACAGATTTCAGTCAGAGAGTGCATTTAAAGCCAATGGTGTGGAATCGTTAAATTCTTTTTAGTGGCTTTTATTGATGGACTAGAGATGAACCCCTCCAAGCATACCTGCCTCTCTTCACTCCTGCTCTCTCTTTTCTACCACACTAGACTCTGTCCAGACTGCCCTAACCTCACTGTACTTGAACAGCTGAGAGAAAAGCCAGTGTCCTTGGATTTAAAGGAAGATTAGTTACGCAATAAGGAAAGTACTCCTACAATGTTCCTCAAAATGGGGACGTGTCCTATGCATCTCCTCAGTATTTTCCAGTACTCCTGCTCATATACTACCAGCACAGGCTAAGGGAGTTGTGTTCACCAAGAGGTGTTGGGGGATCCATTTTGATTGTTAATATCTATCTTTTTTACACTCCCTTTTGGTCCCTACAAAGAACTTATTAGATTTACAATTTAACACTTCTCCAGCTTTAAATGAAGTTCCACATATTCCTCCGCCTCTTCCTGCTGAAAAACCAATTGGGAACACCTCTGGGATCGTTGCTGGAAAGCCTAGTAATGCCAAACAAACAAGGAAAGGGGTAAGTTGTATCTGTATTACATCCTTTGGTTAGCAAAGCAAATGGTCTCTTGTAACAAATTGCTCATTGTGAAATAAGTCATTTGGGGGGTGAGGATGTTACTCACAATTATAAGGCATTTCATATGTTTTTCTTCCATATTTTATTTTTTAATCAGGCTACATCATTTAGGTTGTTGTCAGTACTGGAAATCACTTGGTTGATTTAGATTTGCACTTTGTTATGCTTTGATCATGTTTATCTTTTGTTTTCTGTACTTTAGTAGTTGTAGTCATGCTCCCTTGGGTAAACTTTCAAAGCCTTGCAGAGGGCATTAAACTGATAGGATTGACATGGACAAATTTCCACACACCCCTCTGAAAATGCATCCTCTGCCTTCAGAAAGGAGGCACCTCTCTGTCTGTATGCCAGTCTGAGAGGAAAAAAATTGTTTCCGATGATAAAGGGGAACTTGACAGCACCCTTTTCTCACCTCTGGCTGCATTATATAGACAATTTCCACTAGTCTATCCAGAGCCTGAGAACAATAGTTTATTCTCAAATGCCTCTCCTCTAATTTTCACTCATGATCAGTGACGTGCTAGTAGCAGGAGATACTAGTATGTCCCACAAAGCTGTGGAAATGGGGATTCTGCACACCCCACCAGCTGCGACCCCTTTCACTCAGATTTATTTGAGAAAAACTTTGAAAATGCAGGGGAAAAAAGTCTAAATCTAGAGTCTTGATGGCAAAAATGGAAGAGAAATCAGCTAAAACAATGAGCAGAAAAGAGATGAAACCAAAAGGCCCATATCGACACTTTGCCTGAACAAGAAACAGCAGATAGAGCACCATCAGGCATGGAATTCCTGCACCCCTGTGAATGACGGCAAAGCATCGTAGGCCATTATAGCAAAGATACAAACCCTCAAATTACAGAGATTTCTTTAGCACTGAGTAATCTGTCACATGACGTGGCTTAGAAAGGCAAAATAAAAAAGCAGTGTCTTGCCTTCTCTTCCCCTTGCTTTGATTCTCTTCTCCATTGTCATTAATTTAGAAATTTCTTATCTGCTCTCCTCCTCTAACCCCTCCACTTGCCTGAGAGACCCCATCCATCTCCTGATCTCCTTCATGCCTACTCTCATCCCCTCCCTTACTCTTCTCCTTAACCTCTCAATCACTTCTGGATGTTTCTCTTCACAATACAAGCATGGTTTAGACTCTCCTCTCTTTAAAAAAAAAACCCCACCCTTGATCCCACTTGCCTCTCCAATTACTGCCCCCATACTCCCTTTCATCTCTAACATCGTTGACTGCACTACTTACAATCACAGTCTGGAGCGCCTCTCCCCCAGTTCCTGCCTAGACTCTCTCCAATCCAGCTTCCGCGCCTTGCACTCCACTGAAACTGCTCTCACCAAAATTTCTAAACACTTCTTCCTAGCCAAGGCTCAAAACCAGTACTCCATCCTCATCCTTTTTGACCTACCAGCCACCTTCAACCAGGACCGGCTCCAGGGTTTTTGCCGCCCCAAGCGGTGGGGCGGGGGGAAGCTGCGATCGTGATCGGCAGCACTTTGGCGGCAGCCCCACCACGCCACTTGCTTCTTCGGCAGCAATTCGGCGGCAGGTCCTTCCCTCTGAGAGGGACCGAGGGACCCACTTCCGACATGACGCCCCCTCCCCTTGACCGCCCCAAGCACCTGCTTGCTGAGCTGGTGCCTGGAGCCGGCTCTGCCTTCAACACAGTGAACCAGGCTCTTGATAATTTGTTCTCACTTGGCTCCTGTGACTTGGTCTTCTCTTAATTGCTCCTTCAGTGGATCCCCCCTCTGGCTTTCCATGAGGGCTCCATGGGGCTCTGTTCTTGGTTTCCTTCTCTTCTCTCTTTATACCTTATCTCTGGGTAATCTCCTCCACCAACACAAATTCAACTACCATTTCTATGCTGACAACTCACAGAGTTATCTCTCTACTCCAGATCTGTCTCCTTCTGTCCAAACTAAAATCTTGGCCTGTCTCTCTGACATCTCCTCATGGATGTCTAGTTGCCAAGCTCAATATGGCTAAAACAGAGCTCTTAATCGCCCCCAACCCAGGCCCCCTTTCTTGATCACTGTGGGTAATACTACTATTCCGCCTGTCACTCAGGCCCATAACTTGGGTTGTCATCTTCAACTTGGACCTCTCTTGAGGTGCTCACATCCAGGCTATGTCTAAGTCTTGCAGATTCTTTCTGCATAACGTCTCTAAGATTCGGCCTTTCATATTCATCCACACAGCTAAAACTCTTGTCCAGGCTCTCACCATTTCACATGTCAATTGCTGCAACATCCTTCTTTCTGGCCTTGACAAATACAGTCTTGCACTGCTCATATCCATTCAGAATGCTGCTGCAAAATCATTTTCCTAGCCCATCGCTTTGACTGTGTTGTCCCTCTCTTTACATCCCTCCTCAGGCACCCCCTTCTCTATCCTATCAAATCTAAGCTACTTGACTTCACTTTCAAGGCCCTTCACCACCTATCCCCACCCTACCTATTATCTCTCATTCAGTATTGAAAAGTCAACTCCTGCCTTCGATCAGGCCATGATGCTAGCCTCCATCACCCATTTGATAAATTTTCAAACAAGTACCTTTGTGCTTCTCTCATGCTGCCCCTCACACTTCGCAGTAGCTTCCCATAAACACCTGAAAAACTAACTCATTATCCTCCTTCAAATCCCTCCTTAAAACTCTCATTTTGCCGTGATGTCTACAAAAAACTTTACAACAGTTAGGCTGACCATCATGCTGACCAATATTAATAGACTCATTGTTTCCTTGTATTCCCCATCTGTCTGCATCCCTCTCTTGTCTGTTGTCTTACACTTAGATTGTAAGCTCTTTGGGGCAGAGACTGTGTCTTTATTATGTGTTTGTAAAACACCTAGCACAATGGGGTCCAGGTCCATGACTAGGGGTCCTACACACTATGGTAATACCAATAATTATTAAGAAGAAGAAATGCTCACCACCATGGATGACATGATCACCCCATTAGCTGCATGGCAAATAGAGCCATTGTCTGAAAGATAATGTAGAAAAGTAAAGTAACTGCAAGAGACAACACAATTCTGATCTAGTCCATCCCCTGCCAGTGCAGGTTTCTTCCATACAATATTTTTCTAGTGCATTGTTCAGTCGACTTTTTATATGTCTGCAGTGATGGTGCTCCCACCACATTTTTTGAGAGAGAAATATTATCCCTCAAGCTAAGAGTTACCATATTTACAATTTTCCTGATATTCAGCCTAAATTTTCCCCTTCTTAAATTCATCCCATGACTCCTATTAATATATTCTTGTACAGCATTGCCCTAAAAAGTTCCTGTTGGTGGACTTCTTTTGGCCTCTGATTTGAAGTTCTTCTCTGTTTAGTATAATTTAAATAAGAAAGGAATCTTTTTAAACAGTAACCTGTTAATGTTTCTTACATAAACTGAAATCGCATTTTTGTGTTCTTGTAGGAATCTGAACATTCAGATCCAACAGGTACTTCTTGGACAGAGCCTGTGCTGCCCCCTAGGTGAGTAGAATTTCTAAGTAGCAATTTCAGGGGTCTGAGATTAGCTACTGGATTGCTTTGCTTAGTCGGTCTAGTATGCATACCTATCAACTGTATATTATTAAGACAGTAGGCTTGTGTAAGTTTTGCTTTTGATATAATCACTAATAATTAGGCATGCACCAATAGCCAACTAATGCACACCACATTGTGGCTAATTGGTATGGTGGAGAAGGGAGGCCTTTAGAAAGATTGCAACTCAGCTCTTCTCTTATTGTTTGACTGCCACTCTGTTCTCTCTCTGTTCTGTTTTCTCTCTCCTTCGCCCATAACTGAAAGCAGATAGAGCTGGAGACCATCCTCTCCTCCACAGAAAAGATCATCAACAGCTATCTTCACTTGCTCTTGTGGCTGGGCTTGGGCTGTGGGAGCAAAGAGGGGGCAGTTACCCTTCTAGGAATTGTTGCTGAAGAGGAAAGATGCCAAGTCAGCTCTAAAGCTTTAGATGTGTTATGTACAGCAGTGATTCTCAAAGCTGGTCTGCCGCTGGTTCAGGGAAAGCCCCTGGCGGGCCGGACTGGTTTGTTTACCTGCTGCGTCCGCAGGTTCGGCCGATTGCCGCTCCCACTGGCCACAATTCGCCGCTCCAGGCCAATGGGGGCTGCGGTAAGCGGTGCGGGCCAAGGGATGTGCTGGCCGCCCTTCCTGCAGCCCCCATTGGCCTGGAGCGGCAAACTGTGGCCAACGGGAGTGATTGGCTGAACCTGCAGACCCAGCAGGAAAACAAACCGTCCCAGCCCGCCAGGGGCTTTCCCTGAACAAGCGGTGGACCGGTTTTGAGAACCACTGATGTACAGTACCTCCACTGTTTGCTTACTCTTCAGTCCCGAGACCCTAGTGGAACTGTGGGAGGAATTACAGCCTCCCTATCCCCTTCAGCAACAGGAAGAGGAATAGCACCCACAGGCAAAAGGAAGTAGGTCGGCCCAGGACCAAGGCTCCACTGACTGTCAGGGACAGATTGGTGGGTGGTAGAAAATCTGCTGCTAAGCCCATGCCATCTAGGCACTGATATCTATGTATGGATTTTATAGTTGGTTGTGTACCAAAGCACAAAGTTTTACTGTATCACCCTCTCCCTCTTCCTATATCAGGAGGCTTGAGCTGATCCTGGAACTGAATTTACTCTGCTTAGGGTATCATGACAATAAAGCTCTATTTCTGTTATGAAAGTTTAAGTGCATCTCCTAATGTTGGAGTGATTATAAGAAGAGTTGCCTTGAGAGAAAATGAGATGACTCATTGTTTCTCTTTATATGTGTATCACTTTTTGCCTTTATTTAGTTTTAGATAACTCTTGACCTCTCCCTTATGTTCTCTGTGAACCCAGTAGATAGAAATTCTGTCCCCTCCCTTTCTGCTCAAGTTCACAGAAGACCTATGATTAATAACAACCCTGTGATTTTCCAGACATGAGATCTCTTAGGCTAGATATTTGATAATATCTCCTCACAAAAAGTGGACTGAAAATCTGGTTATTTTTGTGGTTCAGTTTTGGAACACTCCTAATTGTGTTTTTGTCATTTTAGATTAAAATGCTTATTTGGAGGGAGGTTAGGGATGAGGGGGGACAGAACATAGATGAACAGATTTCTCTCATTCACTTTTGTTTAAAAAAAAAAAAAAAAAAGAAGTTGAAGGGGGCTGTAGGAACATTAACTGGTGCTGAAATGACAGCTGGGTTTCTGAAGGAAAGGAATAAGGAGGTGAAGGTCCAAGAAATTCTGAAAAAAGAGAGAAAGGGTTAGAATAAATATATTCAAAATAGTTGAGAAAAGATGTATATAACCATTTTCCTACTATGTTCACTTACTCTTTTAGAAGGCTTTTTTCATAATGGAATGATATCTGGCATAAATCCTCACAAAACTGTGTATTGACTAGAGCCCATATTGTAATAGCTATAAGGAACATGTGGTGGGTGCATTAATAAGCTTATTAATACTCTTCTCAAGTGGTTGAAGGCACTTGCTGAAAACACCAGATGCACAGGCCAAAAGCCTATTAATACATACCTTGTTGTGACTTATTGTTATTACGACCTTTTGAGAACTCATGCTAGTGAATACTTGTTTGTGTTGAACTAATGAACCTCTTATAAAATGCCAGGGTAAATTGTAGAGGAAACATGTAATATTGTGGTGTTTATAATATCTGGTCACTATATTCAAGGTTGCATAAAGATTATTTAAAAAAAAAAAACACACACATCCTGTTTTTGGACAGTGTTTATACCTATCCAGTTAGGGATACAAAGCTGAAATTTGACAGGAAAGCAGTCCTTATTTAGAAGAGAGGTACCTTTGAGTACACAAGTTATTGATTTGGCCACATTCTTAGCCTTTGAAAATCACACTCCGTGAATACACAGTACAGGCAGCACCATTTTTTAGCTCTTTTTTACCAGTGTTTGTAGTGGTACCTTTTCAAGCGTACAAGTTACTTAGAAGTCTGAGTCCTATAGACAGTCAATGGGACTTAGGATCCTAAGTCACTTGGGCACTTTTGAAAATTTATACTTAGAACTTAACCAGGAAGCCTGGACATTCTGAATGTAGCTTTCTGTACAGAATAATCTCATTTCACAAAAGTGGCAAATGGTTCTATTAATCTGATGATGCCTGTTATCCAAAGTAGGGTCTTGTCCCATCAGTTTAGCTGGTGGCATGATTCAGTTCACATGACAGGATGTTTCAGATAAGTGAAATCCCAAGAAATGAGCCAGACTGATTTCCTAAGTCCAGGAGAACCAGCAGGTCTTCAGCTAAAGCACCTCATTCAAAGCACTTCAGCTCTGGACAAAGCTCTTTAATGGTAGGTGGCCTCGCTGAAGTCTTACCTAGTTAGAGGGCCCTAGGGAAGCCAGCCAGCCAGCTCCCTGTAATTGGAACTGGCCAGCAGGATTTGAAATCTGCAGTCAAGGAACCCTACTGAGAAGGCTTCCTTGATTATTTAATTCCCCCAGTTATCCAAAGGTTTCAGGTGTTTCCAGAGAGCTTCAAATAATCCAGATTCTACTGTATTGTTCTTCCTGTTTCAATTAATCATATTTCCCTATTGAATGCTGTGTGGCTGTCGCAGAGATATGGGGGGTATATATGCTCGTTTAAAATGCACACTTCTTTGATCATTCAACCAATCTCTAGGCCTGTGGATGGAAAAATTGTACCAGCTCGACTGCCTCCACCTAAAGGCATTCCTGGAAGGCCACCTCCACCAAAACACTCTGGAACCAAGACCTCTTCCCAAAAGGACCCTTTTTGCCGATCCTCGTCTGACCTGACACTCCATAAAAGACATGACATGTTTGGAATGGGAGTCAAGAGAGCAAAGAGTCAAGTTTTAAAAAATCAAGACCCAGCATTACCGCCTCGACCTAAACCAGGGCACACTCTCTACAATAAATACATGGTGAGAGTGGAGATATTGTGCCTGGCTTTTGCATATAGGATAGAGCTGTTTCCAGTACAGAGTATAAGGTGATTTATTGTGAGGGAGGAGTCTGCTGCTCTTCACCTTCAGCATATTTCCATGGAGGTGTGGGGGGGTGTTTATATATAAAATAGCTCTGCCTCCTTCTCCACAGTCTTTGGGTGTCTTGTGAACGAACCTGGGGTGCTAGGAGGAAATGGAAGCTACGCTGTGGGGTGAGCAAGGACTGAGATAAGGGAAAGGCCTCTTGTCCCCTCTGTGCACCCTTAGCTGGTTTTAAACTCTGACTTGAATTGTATAGGTGATATTTTTCAAAGGCACAAATGACAGTTAAGTGCTAAATACCCATTTTCTTTAATAAAACAACAACAACAACAACAAACCTTTGAAAATCTCTTCCTAAATTGTTTGTCCAGTGGCCAAAACACATAGGAGGGAAAGGTGGATGTATCTATATTGCGTTGCATCACTGTACAGGCTCTTGTGTTCATGCAGCATGAATTTCAGGTGTTTAGAGTGTGAGAGTTCATTTGATTTGTGAATAATTTGTCTGGATTTCTGTTTAAGCTGCCTGTGCCTCATGGAATTGCCAAGGAAGATTTCTCTCCTAGAAACCCTGGAGAACTCAGCTGCAAGGTAAAAGAAATTCATTCTCTCTCTCCCCCTCTCCATCTCTGCAGGTACACACTAAATCATTAGTCTTTTATTATGTTAAAGCATCAACTGCCTTAAGCTTTAAAGGTTACACTCTGAAAAATGTAATATTGGTTTATTAAATCTCTTGGTTTCAAAAAATGTTGCCGTACCTTAAAGCATGGGGATGTTCTTGTGCTGCTGGAGCAGATCGACAGCAATTACTTCAAGTGCCAAAAGGGAGGGGAAACCGGCAAAGTGCACTTGTCTCATATGAAGATAATCACCCGCCTAGATGAGCATCTGACAAGCAAGCAAAAGGTAAACATTAAGAATTAATTAAATCTTTTTAGATGGTAAACTCGTCTGTGCAGGGATTGTGCCTTGCTATGCATTTGTACAGTGCTTAGCACGTTTCAGGGCACAACGGTAGTAATATGATTAATAATAAGAATAGCAATTCCAAGCTCTCAGCAGCACATTGATTTTATCAAACGTGTGCATTTCTTACTTAATACATATTAGGAATACATTTATTTCCAGTACATTGTAATTCACATTGCTCAGTTTTTGCACTGTGTTCATGTTATGTACTCTTTGTATTGCATTGAATTACATTCAAACAAAGCAATTATTCATCAGCCCTCACTTCATCAGCCAAGGTATCGTGGGAGGTAGATTAATATGCAGTTTTTGTGATATTTCCTCTATAAACTTACCCCAATCTACTCAGAAAAGCCAGTCTCCCAACATTTTTGGATCATCAGCTGAGACTGTGCTCTCTCTCTCTGTTGTGATACCCCGTACTATGGAATCTCCCCCCTACCCCAGCCATGCTTTTCCAAGGCATGCTCCCCCCCAACTTCTATATATGCACATCCCTCCAGCAATGTACTGCTCCTTAACTAGTGAACCACTGATGGGCTACTAGCTGATGATCTCGCTCTGATGAATCACAGGTAGGCTGAGGTAGTCTCAGTTTGCAATCCACGGCAAGATCACTATGTGAGGACCTGCACTGTGGAGGTATGACTGAGTAAGCAGGGCTAACATGGGGCTCCTTGCTGAAAGGGCAGAACGGGGGCTCTCAGCTGGTGGACTAAGGTTTGCCAGCTTTGAATACTGGAGGTCAGACTGTCACAATGGCTCCTTCTGGCCTTAAAATCTATGAAATTTATGAATGAATTTTTGATAGCCCACTCTAATCAGTTTAGGGCTGATTTAGTGTGGACTTAAGGGCAAACCTTAAAATGGTTGAGAGTGACTAGTATGGAGACACTCAATCACTGGTGCTTCAAGTTGGTGCAATACAAACAACTGAAGCACAACTAGTTGAATGCTGCACTGTAGACAAGCTCTGAGAAAATAAGTCAAAATGACTTCTGCTGACCCTGATTCAAGCACCTAGGGATGCTTAGCCAATCAGGAAACCACAACAGCTCTGAGCGTAATTGATATGATGTTCAATATGTGGACAGCTGATATCCCATCTATACTAGGGCACACAATGTTGCTAAAATTTGTTCAGCCGAACTGATGTTAGAAAGAGTGAGAAATTTTTTAGAAAATTTTCCTAGTGTAGAAAAGGAACTAGTTAATGTAAAAATGCACCCCCAACTTAACCAAAATTTCACTGATATAATAATGTTCATGTGAAACCTCACATGTTCACAGAATCTGCAAACTCAAAAAACTGCAAATGTTGAAATTTAATATCTATGTTTAGTTTTACATTGAATATCATGCACAGCCCCAACCAAATCTTATCAGTAGAGTATCTTTATTTGCACTACAATGTAGAAAAACCTCTAGATTAACACTTCATGAGCCAAGTATGTTATGGAGATGACATAGCTGATGGCCAAAAACAAAAAGGGGGGAAGATATAAGTGCCATCAACCAGCAAAGTGTGGTGCTCCCAGAAGAAGGAAAAGTTACTGTGAGAGTCATTACTACGACAGAAAAGGGCTATAGAGGTTTTAAGGGGTATAAAGGAGGTACCATCAGAATAACATGGCAAAAGTCTTCAGATAGAGTGTGCTGCAAAACTCAAAATTGTTGTAATACAGTTGGATAAGAGGTAGTGAATATGAATACACTGCATCATTTTTCCTCTCATTTAAATTGGTTCTACACCTGGGTGACTGCATTCAATGGAATTACTTTTGATTTAAACCAGTATAAGTGAGAGAAGAATCAGGCCCATTAATTTATGCGTAATAATAATTCCTTTCTTTAAAGGTGGCAGTTTGGAATCATACATGCATGATGGAATTGTATCCAAAGCAAAAATATCTTTCAGAATCAATAATAGAATGTTCATGTTAATATCTTTCATAATTTCTAAATTGCTTGTGTTTTTTGTAAGGATTCAAACAATATTCAGAGGGTTTCTGACAAAAGTGCTCCTCATGCTGTAGTGCTGCATGATTTTCCAGCAGGTGAGTGCACATAAATAATACTAATAAGTGTATAGTTTGACTAATAGCGTAAAATGTGCTTCCAAAGCAGAGAAGAAAATAGTCAAAACTTTTCTTCTGTTCTTTGGAACACTGAGGTTTAAAGGGCATGTAGCATTTTGATTTTCACAGGAATTTGAAACGTGGTACAATTGCAGGGCCCAAGTTGCTAAGTTTGGATCCAAACTTACCCCGAATGTGTGCATGCTCTGTTTCATGGTTTTAGCTCAGAACAATTTTGAGTTAAAGCTTACATGTCAAACCGTATACCCATGTTAATAAAGACTTTTTAAAACTGATTCAGCTTTTGGGTATGGTGTATATTTAATAAGCTTTTACTTAGAGAAATTCCCTGCATTTGACACTGACTGTAACTGAAATGATGCTGTCTTACAGAGCATGCTGATGATTTGGACCTCCATTCTGGAGAGACTGTTTATCTTCTGGAGAAAATAGATAATGAGTGGTACAGAGGAAAACTCGGGAATCGCACAGGGATATTTCCTGCCAACTTTGTTAAAGTGATTGTATGTAGTCCATTTCCATTGAAATATAGTGTGTTCCACTTATGTTCATGATCAAGGCCTAATTTACCTTCTCTCCTGTGCATTTTATACTTGTTATCTGGGTAAATTTTGCATCAGTGCACAGAAGAGAGATCAGGTTTTTGTGTGATATTAGAAATCTACTTAATCTTGCAACTCTGCCCAACCATTATAGGTATGATTATCATGTTAATTTAAAGTCAAGTGAGAGAATTGCAGCTGTTACTTAAGAAATGCTCATAAATCACCCCAAACAGATTCTGTTCTGTTTCATCTGGGCAAATTCCCATGGGAGTTTCCCTGGTGTTACAGAGCAGATTATTTTAAACGGCTACACATAAGCAAGAAGCTGCTCTTAAGCTACACTTAAGCAAGAAGTCCCATCAAGGATTTGCATTAAATTGTTTGAGAGTATTGGGATGCCTTCAACCCTCCCAAGATGTGCACCCTGACATGGTATGTTGATATTGAAGTATGTTTTAGAAATTGCAGCAGACAATAAAAAAGCTCCCAAAAGAAAACAAATTAGAACTCCTAAAAGGAAGGATCACTTTATACAATAAGGGTAATCAAACCAGTGGTGAGGAAATATTGAGGAGATAACACCATGGCTGCTAATTTTTACAGGATAGCCTGCTCAATGCAAAGAGACCTGGATAAGGGAATCTGAGACACAGGACATAATAGACACAGTTTTTCTAAGGACTTGTCTACACTTACAGCGCTGAAGTGGCTGGGTCGCTGTTGCACTTAGTGAAGATGCTACCTATGCCAACAAGAGAGCTTCTTCCATCAGCGTAGGTACTCCACCGCCCTGAGAGGTGGCAGTTATGTTGATGGGAGAAGCCCTTCTGTCGACATAGCGCTGTGTACACTGGGAGTTAGGTGGGTATACCTACGTTGCTCAGGGGATTTTCCACACCACCCAGGCCTGGTCTCCACTGGGGGGGAATCGATCTAAGTGTTATGCAACTTCAGCTACGTGAATAATGTAGCTGAAGTCTATGTATTTAGATCTACTCACTGCGGTGTCTTCACTGCGGTGTGTTGACTGCTGACGCTCTCCGTCGACTCCGCCTGCACCTCTCGCTCCGGTGAAGTACGGGAGTCAACGGGAGAGCGCTCGGCAGTCGATTTATCGCATCTAGACTAGACGTGATAAATCGACCCCCGCTGGATCGATCGCTGCCCGCTGATCCAGCGGGTAGTATAGATAAGCCCTCAGAGATGTAGTTATACCAATATAAGTTTGTAGTGTAGACCAGGGCCTACTGATAGTAGCATAGAAACTTCCACTTCATTTATGTATCTTTTCAGTCATCCGGTGGATAAGTGTACTGATCAAGGAAGTCAAGAGATCTGGATTCCATTCCCAGCCCTGCCATTGTCTCAATATGGGATCTAGGGCAAGCAATGTCACATTTCTGTGGGCTTACTTATGTGGCTACTTAAGATGTGATTTTTAAACCAGTTTAGTTAAAATGGTGCCAAAGGCTTTGTGGACATGGTGATTTTGGTTTAGCTCAAGTCCATTAGGAATCAACTTTAACTAGTCCAAAGTGTTCATACAGTGTTCCACCATGATCATAAAGTTTTTTACACTGGTTTAACTAAATGGGGTTAAAATCACACCTTAAGTTACACATGCACAACTTACTTTTGGAACTGCTGCTACATTAATAACTTTAGGTATTTTCTAACCATCGTGAGGGAGTTGTACACAAGAGACTCTGATTCCATTTTTTAACGGTTTAGGTCAGTGAGTTTTAATATGCTCAATACCATTACTGAATAATAAATATTGTCATAGTTAGGAATAGTGAGAATGGGTGGGGGTGTTACACCCACACAGGACTAATACTGAGATTTGTTAGGTAAATAGACTGCACCCTTCACCTTCTTCATGTTTCCAAACAAACATTATGTAATTCACAATTTGATTTCTATTGATGGCTAACTTTTAAAACAAAGTTTTATTCTGTTTTAAAACAGTGGAGTGAGCATCCTGGGCCAAATTCAGCACTGGTGTAAACATGCACAATCTTGTTTGAAACAAAATTATGTTAACATGAAATAGGTACCTTTTAGTTTGTGTCAGTGGGGTCTAGTTGGAGCAGAGCACTCATGCTCCTCTAATTTGCACTGGGGCTCTGTATAGATAAGTCCAAAGTCAGTGGAGCTGCGCCAGGCCTGCATTTGGCTCACTCTGTCAGACAATACTGGAATTGTTAGAAAACATACTGTGGGATCCAGTAGCTAATAAATAAGGGGGAAATGAACCTAGGAACGTGTTCCTGAGCTGCTCTCATTTTAATTTTTTCTGTGTACCCAGGAATGATTCTTACATACTAATATTTAATTTTGAAAGTTTATTTTATTTTTAAAAATTAATTGAACTCTTTTAGCACTAAAATATTTTCTTTACAGTTTGGAAATTTAAAACAATCTGTTGGGAAGAAAGAACACTTTATTAAAAAAACAGTTAACAGAGATAATCAACTCATTGGGGCCAGAGATTCAGTACTGATACAAGGGCCAATTCTATCTCTAGCTCATAATGTTAAGCTGGATATCAGCATGAGGTCTAGGCATCAAATAATAATACTTAGCATCTCTGGTACACTTCAAACATTAACTAATTAATCCCCGTGATGCCCTTGTCAGGTAGGCATTATCCCAAGGTAAAGCATGGCCCAATCCAGCACCCACAGATGTTCAATGAAAAGACTCCCATTGATTAGTGAGGGACTTGGGTCAGGCCCTCAGTGAGTAGTGACAGAACCAGGACTACAAACAAGGTCTTTTGACTCCCAATCTTATGTTTAGTCCACTAGGCCATGCTGCATATTTTGCAGCTCTCTTGTGTGATAAAAGATGAGACGATGACTGTGATATTTTTAAATAAAAACTTAAAACCATACACATGCAGGGTCCCTTAGTGCACAGCCTACAGCTCCAAATGGGATAAGGAAGAGGGCTTTTGGTGACACTTAATCTCTTTTTACATTCTGTCTTTGCATGCAGACTGAAGAACAATTTGAGACGTGTTAGTTTATTTGGGGGTACAGATGGCAAAATCTGGATGATCAAAGCCCGGAATGGATATTTCTAAACAGTAATCTTGACTATTGTGAATTGCACTAGCAGATAATAGATTGCAATATCAATTATGAGCCTGGAGCCAAAAGCAACAGTGTGTAGTAGCATCCAATTCCATTTTCTGCCAGTCAACAAAGAGGACTGTTGCTATTAAAACACACTGTTAGTAATGTAAATTATGAAACGTTGTTGTTTCTTTCCATAATGTTGAATAGCAATGATGATGGGCCCCTGGCATCAAAGAGTTAAGTGATTATGCCAAAACAGCACCCACCCACCCCCAATGTAGCCAATGATCAGAACATTCCAGTGATTATGTAGTGCCATGTGGATAGGGTGACCAGATAGCAAGTGTGAAAAATTGGGACGGGTGAGAGATAATACATGTCTATATAAGACAAAGTCCCAAATATTGGGACTGTCCCTATAAAATCAGGACATCTGGTCACCCTATGTGTGGCATCTGCAGCTGAAACTGCAATGTAATTAACTAATTTGAATGGAGAATATTCTAATTTTGACATTAAATATGCTAAATTTATGCCACTATAATTGTGTATTGAGTTTTGTGTTTGATTGTGTATTGTTTTTTTATTGTGTTTTGTTTTTTGGTCTTCTCATTATTAGATTGATGTTCCAGAGGAAGAGAACAGGAAAAAAATATTGTTTTCATCACCATGTATTAAGTGAGTTTCATACACATTGTTGCTCTCTTTTTCATCTTGACATATATGAAAAACAAATACGCAGAAAGATTGTTTACTTCAGATTTACAGAGGCATTAACGTTAATTTAGTCAAACGCTGATGCACCAATATTTTAGTTTATGCTGTTTAATTTTTGCAAACTAGGAATATTTGAATAAGAATTTTTCCATTTTTAGTCTTTCATATGAAATTAAGCACTAATTACTGTAAAATAGAACAAATATTCCTGAAAGATGACTAAAAACAATGCATTTTTATTTTTGGCTGGAATATAAACAACAGACTGAACTTCACGGATTTAAGAAATGGCAGCTGATATTGACTTTGAAATAAATCATTTTTTAAATCTGCTTTTTTGAGATACTGAGAAGAGCTATTTCTAGGGCTTGATGCTGAGAGGGTCTGTGCACCTACCATTCCCATTAATTGTATGTGCTCAGCACCTCACATGATCAATTATTATAGACTTATTTTGATACAGAAAGACTATGAGAGGCAGTATCATTCCTGGTGCAAATGGATACAACTTGATTTCAGTTGCATTCCATAGTATCATTTTTGGACAGTGCTAGTTTGTTGACTTACATGATTGTTCACTTGCAAAGTAAAAAACAAAATGAAGCAGAGGTGGGTTACACAAAACAGTCTGAGCCTTTCCCTTAAAGGTAAAGTTAAAAAAAAATAATAATTTCAAATTAATAGTAGAACTATTCAAACTCCACTTTTCTGGTAGCTTTGAAAGTCACTAGAAAAGATCAACAGTAGCAATCTGATTTTAAAAGTCCCTCCATATCACCCTCTTAAAAAAAACTACTACTAACTTTTAGCAAAATAAACTGAAAAATTTAGAATTATGAAGAAGGGTGACCAATATGTGATCAGGGTTCAAATGATGTCACAGAAAGAGATGGGGAGTGGGCAGGGATTCCTTTTTACACCTGTGTGACAATCTGCTGGGGTTCCCAAAACTGTGAGTTTCTGTGTTCCCCCTCTCAGACTCAGCGTAGCAGCAGCAAAGTTCCCACTTGCTATGTGTCAGCTCTCCGACACACTGGCTTGTGTGCCTTGCCAGCAAACTTTTTAGGATTCTGCCAGTCCAAACCCTGTCTCGCAGGTAACAATCAGTGAACCCCATTCCCAAGTTCCTCAGAGACGTCTTTCTGCAACACTCACAAAAACAAGTTTGCTGGTCCTTTAACAAGACAGTACACAGTAGCTTATTACGTTCAATGGGGCTAACCAACAGTCTATTTCAATCAAAGCGTTGAGTTGGTGTATGGTATAAGCAAAACAGGTTTGTTAACAAAAGGACACAGATTTAAGTGATACCAAATATAAGGAATTAGGGTAGAAATGGTTACAAACAAAATAAAATATGCTTCTAAGTCTAAAACTACTTAATATACTAGTGTCTTTTCTTCAAAGCGGTTTTTCTCACCATAGTCTTTCTTCCCGCATGGCTGGCTAGACCTTTAGCCAGGACCCAACACATGGAGCTGAAAGCGCTTGGTTTCTTTCATTCCTAAGGTGAAGGATAACTAAGGGGTTCACTTCCCTCCTTATAGTCCAGTAAACATTTGAAATGTATTATTTTGAAGTGTATCCTCAGATAAAGTTCCTTTCCCCTGCTGGGTGTGGACACCATGCTGTCTGGTGTAGATTCTGTGCTGGTTCCTCCCTTGCTGGTGATTTTTAAAACGCAAATTATCCCATCCTGCAACCTCTGATACAAGTGACTAGCCCATTGAATTTGGCCACACCTGATCTGAGATGTTGGCCTCTTTCCTTTGTCTGGAGAAAACCTGTGTATGAATTCTCCCTGACATCCCTGGTTTAAACACATTTTAGTCACATATTTCCAGCACATCTTTACAGTTCTTTGTGGGTTAACTATATATTCATTGTGCAAGAATATTAATGATCAGTGAGTTATTAGTTTTCCAGTGATATATTACATGCCACCTTTTGGGAAAATAGCATGACAACAGAATGCAGTTTGGCATGGGGGAGCTCTTAGGGTCACAGCCTCCTTCACCCTGTATTTCTGGGGGTGGTACTAAATGATAAATAATTGGTGCATTCAGTGATTTAAATATTGCTACACAGCAACTTTATGTTCCAGTTAAATGAAAAAAATTGAATTCAGTGTGTAGTATCTTGCTGTAAATTGTAAAGCTGTCAGGGGCATTGTTTTTTTTTTTTTTCCCCCTACATTAAGAGTTTATATTTTCTGAAATCCACCATGGAAAAATAAAGCTTGTCCCAATAGAGGAAAATTGTCTTCTCTGCTACAAAACATCATGCTGCATTTTCAAGGTTTTGGGGGGAGGAGGTGTGTGAATCTTGCTGTACTATTTAAACTAGCATTTCACAGTGGCTCATCTATCAAACAGACTAAATAAAAATGTGATTGCAGCCATTGCTGATGTGTGTCCCCCGCCCCGTCCCCTCCACTGAAGATTGACTACAGGCCGTCCAGCTATAAAAAATATTTTAAAAGCCTATGTTGCTCAGATTTTTTTTTTTATGTGGCTTCAGCAGAATAAGACCGCATTACTTTTCCTTTTTTGTGTATTTCTTAACTTGGAAATATTCTATTGGCCAGCTTCTTAACTGTGCAAAATATGAGTGGACAGGGGCAGGGTGGCTTCGAGTCAGCTTTCCAAACCTCTGATCCTGGGCAGGCCAGCCAGGAAAAGAGACCTGATGCAATTGAAAGCAGCTCTCCGGGACCAAGGTGCCAGCTAGGGATCAGCCACAGCACTGCTCATGCTGCCTCACTCCCTCCCACTCCTGGCATCCTACAGCCTGCTACTTCCCACTCGACATACACCCTACTGAGAGGCAGGGATTGGATATTGGAGAGCTAGGCCTATGGATAGTTTGTACCCGTTTAGGACAGCTTTCTGCCTGCTTTGTGCTGTCTCAGTACAACCTTTAGGCCCCCATTTTTAACCATCTTGGCCAGAAAGATATAAATATGGTGGATTTTGCTTCATGATCACTATTGTGGGTATCCTATGCAATTTGTTCTGGCTGTGTAATGCCCACAAGAAGTGAAATGACAAAAATATTAAAATTAATATGTAAAGCCAACTTATTCTTTTGTTTGTGCAGGGGTCCGAGATGCGTAGCTCGGTTTGAATATATCGGAGACCAGAAAGATGAGCTAAGTTTTTCAGAAGGTGAAATTATTCTTCTTAAGGAATATGTAAATGAAGAATGGGCCAGTGGAGAGCTGAAAGGCACATCTGGAATTTTCCCCTTGAACTTTGTGGAAATTATTGAAGATCTGCCTGGATTAGGTACAATATATCAGCATTCTCTAAGTGTGTAACTGGAATAGAGTCAGTGTATACCATTTAGTATTGCATGCAGGTAGTATGACATAATGTATGAGGAGTTGAAAAGAAAAATGCACTTTATTTAGAAGGACTACTAAAAATGAGGAAAGGGATTAGTGAAGACGAGACAAAAATGAAAGAGGACAAACAAGTGAAAATTGAAAGGAAAATTAGCCTTTTGAAGAGAAGCCAGTTCTTGAATACAGGAAAAGCTGTGTTATCTAGCACTTTACTAGCTGAAACACTCTATAAACTGGCATTTTTGATCTTCATTGGCAGTCCGGCTGGCACAGGACTGGCAGGCTCCCTACCTGGATCCGCATGGCTGCACGGAAGCAGCGACATGTCCCCGCTGCTCCTAGGCGGAGGAATGGTCACGAAGGGGCACGGGCCAAACTCTCTCCCTCTTAGTTAACTAGAATTTTTCACTTACCAGCACCTCACATACCCCCAACATGCTGGATAAAAAAGTTTTTACTGCAATATGGTATCGCAAAATGCTGTTCTTGATTTTCACTTCCTCTCCAACATGTTGAACTCACATCACGTGAAATTCTGAAGAGCAAGAGCAAATATTTGAACCGTTTATACTTTATTATGTAGGTGTAGGAGCACCACTGAAGAACAAGAGGGAGAGTTCTGCTTGTCTTTCTCAGGTAGGCTATTGGAATTCAATACACTGAAGCCAAATTAACATGAGGTAAATTGCATAAGATAAATTTTCATAGTGATGCATAGGGAGATCAGCTACACAACCTTCGTCGAAATTAGTAGGCATTATTAAGCATCTTATTCTCAGTGCATTGTGTAAATAATTACTCATAGAAACCTCAATTGCAATTGATGAAATGATTCAGTTAGCAGGAAGTCATCAGACATAGTTCTTACTCTTATTTCCTTTGTTTAGGCAATTTCTATTGTTCAGTCTCTTGTGATTTGTTGAGCTACTGTAGTTTAGTTTAGTCTGCTTTTAATTTGTAATGGGCATTAGATAGTGTCTTTTGTTTCTGTTATCCCGCCACTAAATATGTTAAAAGGGGAGGCAGACAGTATGAGACAGGAGTAACCCATGTGAAAGTTTCTTAAATTGGATGATCATTGAAATGTTATTCTAAGCTACAACTGTATAGAGCACATATGGTATAATGGTTTACACTGGGGTAATTCATTTGTGGGAAGGGATTAATTCTTTGCTTAATTAAGGTCTGTGGCCCTGGTTATACATTCAGCACTCTATGCCCCCACAACTCACAGTGGAATACCTGCTGCTTTCAGCAGTAGTTTGGACAGCGATCGGATATATGGGCTGTATGTAATATCTAAAGTTAGCTCTTACTGGTTCAGTGCCTTCCTGTAACATTCATCATTGAATAAGAAAGTCAGCCACTATTCTTGCCCTTTGTTTATCTTCTTTCCCTCCCTTTGTGAATCTTCTCTGTTCTTTCTTCCACATTTCCTTCCCTATAGCAACTCCTATTTCCCAACCCAGTGGACTCTACTCCCATTTATCCCCTAGATGAAAAAAATGATCATTACATAGCTAATGGTGGGAGGAAATTTTCGTCATTGGGCTTTGAAGATGACACTTCAGTCAGATTAATAAGGGATAGAGCAGTTTGCGCTGAATCACTTACATACTGTTCCCATTTGGAAGGTTCTAGCCCTCATAGCTACAGAGAGAATTTATTTAATTTATGAAAACTTAGATTATGGACAATCTGAATATGCCAGGCAGGTCCTATCAATACATTATACAAGCCATGCATTTCATAGCCCTGGGTTAAAACAAAAGAGTAGGGGTCAGGGAGATCATGACGTTTAAATTCAGTTGAACCAGTTGATTGTGTGGCTTTGGTACAAATTACCCCTTCACTTTCCTGTGTTCCTGTTCATTCAGCAGAGCCTCCTTGAAAACCAGCTTCTGTGGCAGTGTGACACTTTCCTGAGTTAATAACAAGTGACCAGGGGGACAAAACAACAATATTTTCAAAATCTCCTTTTCAGGCCTCTTGTAATTTCTCCCTTTTAGACATCTCTTAAAGTAAAACATGTGCACACAAAAGATCATATTCAAAATTTGCTTAGCACTGTGCTTTGAAAGGAAGAGAGTCAAGAAAAGGATTGTGCACCTCTACAAGCATCGTAAACCAAGTCTGTGGATTCACGATCTCCTCTGTACACTTTGCAAGTCAGGATTGTTATAAAACTCTCCCTCTCTCCCCCCCCACCCCACCCCTTAACTTCAATACTCTAATGCAGGGGTTGACAACCTTTCAGAAGTGGTGTGCCTAGTCTTCATTATTTATTCACTCTAATTTAAGGTTTTGCGTGTCAGTAATACATTTTAACATTTTTAGAAGGTCTCTTTCTATAAGTCTATAATATATAAATAAACTATTGTTGTATGTAAAGTAAATAAGGTTTTTAAAATGTTTAAAATAAAATTTAAAATGCAGAGCCCCCCCCCGGATGGGTGGCCAGGACCCGGGCGGTGCAAGTGCCACTGAAAATCAGCTCACGTGCCGCCTTTGGCACGCATGCCATAGGTTGCCTACCCCTGCTCTAATGTGTGTTAAACCAATTAAGCAAATATTATAATATGAAAAAAAATAGATTGTATTCATGTGGGTTACCCCCCCTGTCTAAATCTATGGCTCCACCCAAGTCTCTGTTTTAAAATATACTTGACATTTCCTGCAAACAGGTCTTGTGTTTGTTTACTTTGACAGACTGATAGACAGTCTGGAGAGTGGTGTGAAGCGCTTCATGATTTTACAGCAGAAACCAATGAAGACTTATCCTTTAAAAAGGGAGACTACATCCAGATATTGGAGCATGTGGACTCAGAGTGGTGCAGAGGGAGACTGAATGATAGCGAAGGCATTTTCCCAGCAGTTTTTGTTCAGACCTGCTCCGGTACAGTATTTCTAGTGGAAGATAAATTCTCATTTCTTAACCCAAATCCCTGGTAACAACCACACTTATTTGAAGTGCTCATAATGACAATTGGTGCTCTAGTTCCTAGTGATGTAATTAGCTAGGTATATCTGTAACACTAAGCAATACTACAGTGACATGCTATTGTCTAGAAATCAAACTAGACCTTGAACCAACATTTCCCAAATAATGGCACAGAGCCAATCACTACAGCTGAAAAGATACCATTAGAGATGAGAACTTTGCTCTAATTTAAGTTTGCATTTGAAGCTGATCTTTGTATCAGTAAACAATATCCAGGTTTAATTACTGCTTGGAATGTTTAATGTGCCCTGTACTCTAAAGTAATACTAACATCCGACAGGAAAGCCAGGTTAGTTTTGGCCTGGGCTTTATCACCGAGGTAAAACCATTGTCTTCAAATTAAATCTACAGTTACAGCTGTCCAATGCTATAGCCTTCCGTGGGGTTTCACAGGTGTAACTGAAGGCACTGAGCCAAGTTGGCAGCTGGTATGAATCAGTGTAGCTCCACTGAAGATTCGGCCCATAATTTGTGGACAGTGGAGTTGCATTGATGTCCCTGTCCAAAAAAACTAACTTACTCTATTCTGTTTAATTGAAGAAACATGAGCATGAAACCAATCTAGTTCACTCTCTAAGAATGGAATTAGTTCTCTATGGCTAACAGTAGCCAAAAGCAGTAAAATTTTAGGTTTTTTCCCACTCAATTAAATACCTGTGATTCAGAATATACAGAAAGTAAGGTGGCTTTACATAGTTTCAGAGTTTGATACTGTTACCTACTGCTCCATTACTATATACATTACATCAGGGTAGTCAATTATTTTTTTGTCAAAGTCCAGGCTCCAGAAAAAATAAAAAATAATAATCATAATAAAAAGATTTCAGGGTCCAGTCAAAAGCATCTGGAAGTCCAGATTTGGCCTGCAGTCCTCCTATTGAATATCCCTGCATTACATTTTCCAGTTAGGAAGAGAAAAGACCAACTCCTCCCTGTAACACTTCAGTTAATGAGAAGGGTTGGGTAGGTAAGCAGCGGGACAAGCTCTTGACTCAATCTCTGAAATCCCCTTCCTATGAAATGAACTCATTTCTACTGCAGAGGAAATAATCTGTCTGTAAGGAATATCAACAGCAGATTTCAAGTGAAAAATGTTGAGTTTTTATAGTGGTAGAAGTTCATTTCTCAGTATGATTATTTTATTATATTATTGTGACCCATGCAATGTGTAGGATTTATTGCAGTTGTGTTCCACACTATGAACTAATAATGCACTCTGTGAATGTAGGGAGAGAGTCCAAGCACTGAAAACCTCGTCTTGTTGGGGAATTCTCTTTAAAAATTGTTTTTATATTTTAAGCAAATATTTTGTAATCACTTGTGTGTTGTCGATATTCTACAGCTGGAGTAAAGACAGCATCTCCAGGATGCAGGAAAGGAAAAGCCAAGGCTTTGTATGACTTCCAGGGAGAGAATGAGGATGAGCTCTCCTTCAAGGTAAATATCTTAGTCATTGCTGTTAGCTCACAGACCTCGAAAGAGATGGGGCAGCACTCTATTAAGAAAGCAGATTGTATGGAGCAGACCAACTGAGCTGGACCTCATCTACCTTAGAAACACAGCTAGAAAAGGAAAACTTTTACTGCTCTGGAAATAAGGCCAAATCCTTGGACAGAGTGGGGGAGTGAAAGGGGCACAAAGATGGCATAACGCCCACCTTTGAAATCTGCTGCCCTGTGTCAGTCCAGTTCCGTGGCATAAATTAGAGTAGGTTATCAACCAGCCCCAAGGGGTTGAAACAACAGCTCTGTGAATCCATGAAGGATAGGACAGCCCCATCCATGCCAGAAATGCTTCTACGGTAGCAGTAGGGAGGTTGGCATAGGAGCAATTACAATGAATCTGTACCCCAGGAAGACTCGCTTTGCAGTGGGCTGATCCTCCTTTGGCTGGTTATGTTGACCCCAGGCTGTCCAGCAAGAGTTACCACATTCAGATTTGAAAGTTACGAGGTCAATAAAGTAGCAGTTTATAAATGCCTCATATCAAACATCTACTCAGCCTCTGTAGTGCTTAGAGCTAGCATATCCACCTCTGCTAACAGTGCAAATATAGAACAGTGCTAGTACTAGGAAAGCCCACATTCAGGTACTCTTCATCAACATTCCAGGAAGATCACTAGAATATTAGATGAACCTGAGACTCAGCAGCCAAGTGGTTATTTACTGAAAATGAATCAATTGTTTCAGGACACTTGCAATACATGGACTGACCACAATGTGTCTGTTCCCAAAGGGAAAAGTTGAAAATCTGCATGCTACAAAAGGGCTATTTTACAGTACGTCCTAGCAGGGTACATCATGAGGGTGTATCACTTAGTCAAACTAGGATTTGCTCCTGGATCTTTGTCTGTTTACTGGGGATCTTTCCAAAATGTTAACTTTTTGATGAGTGTGATAAATATAAATAGTAGCAACTATCGAAGTCCCAAGTGTTTGTCTGTACCTCTGTTAATGTGGATGTTTTTGTCTTTTCTATAACTTTACTGTGACTTCAGTCAGGTACAGCTGTTCGGAAAGGAATAAAATATCTTGAATAAAGTCAGATCGTAGTTTTAGTTTGACAAATTGATCCTGTCACCTTGTCACACTTCTTAGAAAAAAGATAAAATGAAGTTTTCTGACCAGATGCATTCATTTTCAGTTGTATCAAAAATTAGAGATCTGATCAAATAGGGCATGATAGAATTTATCCCACTGTGCCTAGGAAACAGAAGACGGGATGAAATATAGGAACGTAACAGTAGTAGTTGCAGCAACTACACCCTATGATGGTGGGCTCTTTAAAATACATTCAGTACAGTGTGTTTGGGTTTCCTGAGACGTTTTCACAGCACAGCATGCAGTTGTGACATAGAAAATCAAATGACATACTGCTTGCTGGGTATTCAGACAGACTATTTGAAGAGGTAAAAGATGTTAGCAAGAAGGAGTGGGTCTATAGTATATCAAAACCAATGACCTAGATACTGAGGGAACTTGAAACTTAAATTGGCAAGACCTGCATAGACATTCAAAGCAAGATCAGATGAATAGTAATCTCAAAAATATTACCTTTTACTGTGACTAAAGCAGATCCTATGTGAGCACTTAAGTTTTATGTTCTTGGGAGACTACAGGAGCAGAGTATTCTAGAATAAAAGCAGAACCAATGCACTGGAAGAAAGGACAGGACTATGAGAGAGAATTTTAGATTAAGCGTGGGGCACAGCATGATGAAAATAGGAGCAAGGAATAGTAGATCAGACAGATAGTACTAATTTTAGTCCACTTCAGACAACCTGTTAAACTCCTCAGACCATTGTGCCCCACTTTTGGGAACCGTAATATGAAGAAAAGGAGTGAGTGTCAGGGATGGATAACAAGAACAATGGGGGTCAGACACTTAACTTGTAGCAAAGAGCCGAAAAGGAATTGTACTTACTAGGAAAAAAAAAAAGTTATGGGAGAATATACTTCCCTGTTCCATGACATCAAAGAAGTTTAAGTGGCTCATCAGCATATACTCTGTTATATATACACCAAAACTCAAGGGGCTAGATCCAAAAAGAAATGTAGGGACTTAACTGTAACTTTAGGTACCTGTATTAAAAAAATTAGATTTTTAAAATCCCTGCTCAGCTGCTATAACCTTGTTTCCAGGCACCTAAGTTTCCAGTGATAAAGTTCATTAGATGCCTAAAAATCCACTGCTAGCCAGGTACACAGTTGCTTCATTCCAGGCACCTAGCTCATGCCTAAGCCCTGGTGGGATCTGCCAATTAGGCATTGCCCCACTTATCTTGCCTAAGGGGCCCAATGTGATAGACATGCTCAGAGGCCTGCCTGATTTGGAGCATGAATTTGAACCTGCATCTCCCATTTCTCAGAACAGAACCCTAACTATGGGATATTTCGAGATAGCTGTCTCCCAAGTCTGTGAAGATGTTTTACTTCGTATAAATGTAAAGTTAGCAAGAGCTGCCAATATTGTATTTTTATTTTTCTCTATGTAAATCAAAGTTTTATGGAGGTGAATTTTTGTTACTGCTTCTCCCTCTAATCCCATATCAAGCTATATTTGAGCAGAAAAGATTCATCATTGCTCATTTTCTTACAGGCAGGTGATATGATAACAGAGTTGGAACCTGTAGATGAAGACTGGATGAGTGGAGAAGTACAAGGCAAATCTGGAATATTTCCCAAAAACTTTGTTCAAGTTCTATAGATATCATAGGGATGGAGCCCAGTTCTGCTCACTAGGCATATGGAAACAAATGCTTATCTAGCACAAAGGCACATTATACTTCAGCAAACAAAGAACTACCATCTTTGTTGTCACTTGAGTTATTACTTTGACTATCAAATATGATTTGCACTATATTGTCCAGAAAGAGAACCACATCATATATAACATATTAATTCCTGAAACACCAACGTTTGCCGTGACAACAAAACTTAGTCATACTTTGTGAATGTTCCACATGAGCTAGCAAACAGAATTTCCACAGGATTTTTAATAGTTTCCAGCTAGGGAAATTAAATGTAGTACAATATCTTACAAATTAAGTGAACTGCATTCTAGTAGTTGACCTGATCTGGTATTTCATTTATCCTGCATAAAATTTGCATAAATTAAGATTGTTTAATAGGCTTTTTAGAAATGCATTTATTTTGCAGATTTAAGTATTGTATGTTAAATATGTATACCACATTTTTGATTTTCAGATTTCACTACTGCTTGAGTTAATATCCTCATTAGCAATAAAAAGCAGTTGTTTTAGGATTGAGAGGATAAAGGTACCATTTATTATCTTGCGGAAAAATGTCAAGCCCTAATGTATGATCGACACCTTGTAGAGTCAGACTTTGGTATCCCATATATGAAATGACAAACAAGCAGGAGGATCAAAAGGCTAAGAAAACTTCACTCACTTAATAGTTTCTCCATCTTTGAATGTAGGGCTGAGTGAACATGTGAAGTTCAAGGTTTTTGTACTTGTAGAGTTCATAAAACTGGAATGAACTCATCAATCTTTTTTACTGAAGAGTGATTACACCTGTCTGCCCCCCCAACACATTTTTCTAGTTAAAGGGAAACCTGCTCTGTGTGTTAAGGAATAGATGAGAAGTCACCAACATTTAAAAACAAAAAAACCCTCCCCTTTTGGTTGGTTCAAGCTAGTGCCCCAGGGAGAGTGTTTTCCTATTAGAAATTCTCTCTTTCCCTCTCTGATCCAGTCTCTGGGTTTGTCAATCTTCGTTTCTCTTACACAGAAACAAACCCACTTCCATTCCCATTTCAGTTTAACATTCAAACCTGACAGTGTTTGAAATTAGCAAGAGACGTTTACCTAGCCATTCTATAAACCCCCAGCACGTTTCACGCCGGCTGCCATTCTTATGTTTTGTTTTGTTTTTTTTCAGTGAAATAGTTCATTTTAATAGGAATATTTCACAGCCTTATGTCTATGAGTAAGAACAACTAATTGAGGTATCCACTAAAAGTTATTTTCTATAAATCAGCTAAATAACATATAAGATGTAGCATTGTAAATTATCTGTCAAGGCAGAAAGATTAATTTCTCTTGGTGGCTGCTGCTAACAGGCACAAAGATTTATATTTTTTTAACAAACAATGCAAAATTATATAAGTTAAATTATAGAGACTAAATAAGTCTGATATTAGACATATTTCCAGATAAGAACAGTGCATTCTAAAAACCAACACTTTCCAGAATGTTTGACAATAGCTCCATATTAAACAAGTTAATTGTTAACCCACCTCCCATTCTGGGCCGATGTGTACTGTAAAAAAACAAAATCAAAACATTTAATCTTCATTATGCTGCAGTTTATTCTGTACATGTTCAATGGCATCCTATTCTCACATGAGCAACTGGCCTCTTTTGTAATCTCTGAAGAACAAGGCAACTGAACAAACTGCGTGTATATTATATCTGAGGATTAATATGTGCAGGTGGCAAATAAGGAAAGCCAGGCTTTTCAGAATCTCTTTCCATCAGAAAAGCATAGCATAGGGTAAAAGTCAGAGCATCAAGGTGTTGGTTCAGCATTGATCATTTAAAGTTTGGAGACCTTTTTATCAAGTTCCATCTTTAAAATCTTGATTTAATTTTGAAGTCTAACACAGGCCTCTCTACTGCTATCTCTCATCTTATGATGATGATTTCCCCTGGGCTTATAGAAAGGATGTTCAGATACTATAGCAATGGACTATATAAAAACCCTAGTAAAATACAATAGACGTTAGCACTCAAAACTTGCCTTTTTAATTTTTAGTTCATGGACGAAAAGGAAGTTATTTTTATTTTATGTGCCCAAAAAGTAAATTCTAACTCCACTTAAGAATGATAAACCTATATGTACTCTCTTTTGGAAATGTCTTCTCCCCTTTCACTTGAAGAAAAAAAACTAGTGTTGCTTTACCATATGGGTACCATGTCAAAGGTTTAAGCAAAATGGACTCCTTTCACCATGGCTCTGTGCCAATGCGATTGGTAAACCGCCTGTAAATATTTTGAATAGTAGAACTAGTAAAAATTTAAGAACTTCATAAAAAAAGACACTTACTCAGCTTGCTTCCTCCAAATGAGATACCTAAATCATTGAGGAGACAGATAAGGTATTAGTGTGCAATGTTTACTTACTTTTGACTTTGGGCTTGTCTACATGGGGGGGTAATGGGCTCCATAGTGCACTTCAGAAATCACATCCCTAATGTGCTGTGCATTAATTGGTCTGTGTAGACATTACTGGTGCTCTTTAATGCAGTGCTGTTTCAAACGGTGCTACATTAAACCATACTAGTGAACCTTTACCGTGCACCAGCAGGGTATATACATGGAGACATTGATTTCTAAAGCACATTAACATGGGCATATCTCACACACCCCCACAGCTCACATTACCTTGCTGTGTAGACCCTTTAATTATGTCAGTTCTCTAAAGCTTTGATACAAATATTTTTGAACCAACAGTGCTGAATTTATAAATTTTTCCAAAAGAAAAAGGGTGTGTGAAGTTTTGGCTATATTGGCCTATTAATAATTTTTACCACTTTAATTTAATGCGTGACATCCATTACATTTCAAACTTTTTAAATAAACATCTGTTTAATTGAATAATCCTTGTATTTTATTTTGTAACTCTGAATACTAAATCAGGAAATATAGCAAACATAATACCACTTATGTATTATACTTAATGTTTAAGTCATAAAAGGATAAAATGGCTGGAAGCTGCAAATTCAGAACAATAGTGCCATCTAAGGGCTTTTTATTGTAGCTTTGCCAGTTCAGAAAATCATCGCTTTAAATTTCAGTCCCTTGATCAAATTAATCTGTTTTGCAAAAAATATCTGCTTTACTATTAAACCTTCATGGTCACATATATTGTCTACACAGAAAAAATCTAAAATCTCTATTGATTACAAGGATGTAATTCAGCAGAAAGGGAAAATGAAAAGGGAAAATTCCTGTGAAAATCCTAAATTACATTTACAATTAATATGAAAGATTATGCTATCTTGAAATTCAACCAGGGACCTATGATTCATTAATATGATATAGAGTGGTTTTCCTAAGCTTAAGGCTGTTAGTGTTTTGTTAAATCATCCACAGTGAAAGTAGCATCTTTGTAACAGAACACATTTTTCCATGATTTTTATATATAGTACAAAATAAAAACTTTTACATTCTGCAAGTCCAAATTTGTCTCCAGAATTATGGTAACAGTATAAATTAAATTTGTATTTAACCAATAAATTTTTATATGTATGTCTGAGTCACATTTGAGTCTGTATTTACCTTTAACGCTCACTAATTCTGATTTAATGAAAGGACTGATATCTTTAAATACACAGATCTTATAGCAATATTTCCATTAGGGATTTAAAAAAATAAATAAAAATAGTACACTGTATAAATGTGCCTTACACCAGTAGTCACCATTTTGGAAATAACTGCACCTTTGTCCTTCCATAGTCTGTTCAATAGACCAGGCCTCTAGCAATCACCTCTCTATTAGAAGTGTCACATGACTAAAGCTACAATTTTGTGTCAGAAGTCACAGAATCCATTACTTCTAAAGACCTCTGTGACTTCAGACCTGGCGGCTGGGAGCTACAGGGTCGCACCACCTCCCGCAGCAGCAGGGAACTGTGAGGTATCCCCACCACAGCAAGGCAGGAGAACCTCCTCCCCCCCCCCGTAGCTTCTGCCACTGGGGAGGGCGCAGGGGGACCCTGGAGCTCTGAGCCACCCCGCCCCTTCCCATTTTATCACAGATATTTTTAGTAAAAGTCAGGGACAGGTCACAGGCTTCTGTGAATTTTTCTTTATTGCCCATGACTTTTACTAAAAAATATCCATGACAAAACCTTAGCCTTACACGACTCTCTCCATCCAACCCAGGGATTTAAGCTGCAGTTCAAGGGCCTGCCAGCCTTTACAAAACCAAGTACATGTATAAGTTCTCTAATGCCTTAGTCCGAAAAACAAATTAATAAATTGTCTAAATGAATGCTAAGCTTACCAAATGTCACCCAGGTTCCACAGGGGAACGCTGATAGGTTCCGAAGTCCTTCAAACTTTTCAGCTGAGTTTGCCCTCTTGGTTAACAGTTTGTGTCAGTTTTTAGATCAAGTACTTCTCAGTCAATTTCAGCTGAGACTTTATATCAAAAGCCTCTCTCTATTTTCTGGGACTCAGCCAGAACCAGTATATGCAGTTCACCCAGCAGTCAGTAGTTCTCCAGACTTGCTTACCTGTCCCAGGGTCTGTAATAATTACCCCCATCACACACTGATTTTAGTTCCTGGAGGGAGTTAGCAACCCATGGAGCTAGCATACAATCCCTGGCTCAGAGCTACAGGTAACTTTTATAAAGTTGAAACAATACTCTCAAAGATATTGCATGTGTCTATAGCACCTGTCACACCTGGATGGCTTATCTCCCTTCCCGTAGAGGAATAAAGCTATAGTGCTAAAGCACTCTTATAGTGGTTTAACTGCATCTATACTATTGGGGTTGTACAACATTATCTGTACTGGTATAATTAAAACAGTACAACTTGAGATTCAGCAATCGCAGTTGTAGTTGGATTGTTGTAAATAGGTAAGAATAATCACTCTTACGTGCTTGAATACAACAGGTTAAAAAGGCTAATAGTAGGAGAACTAGATGGTCCAGGAGATTGGTAACAGGATACAGTGTCTTTCACTAGAAACAACTGGAAATTACTATCACCTGAGAAGCCTATATAGAATGAATGGAGAAGTTTCACTCTAATTCCCAGTAAACAGGCATCTCTAAAGCCATTACAATTAGCACCCTTGTTAGTAGCACACATAGCAAGGATGGAAATGGTCAGGGCAATTGAACTAAACTTGATCCCCCACTTTCTGTTCTGTTTAGACAACTTTGGTCCCCAGGACTGCCAATCCAGCACCCTATGAACACTAAATTCATATTAACATTTTTATTTTGGAAAGAAAGGTAATCATTTCTATTTCATATAATTGACAAGACAACATCAGGTTCAGGGCTCTTATTAGATTACCTTGCAACCACTTCTTTGTAGTGGTATCTTTTAGACATTTTACCAGAATAGCCTGACTTTTGGAACACTTCAGATTTACTTTGAAGAGACCAGCCAGCACTCAAAATGTTTTGGTATTCCAGTAACTACATCCAGTATAAAGCCTGCAGAAATTCTGTAACAGTACCATCAGAATTCTCTGAACTTCCACCATGCAGCTGTTACGAATTGAGAACAATTCTTAAGATCTAATTTGGCAAATACCCTTGCTGCTGTCAAATAGTCAAGTACCCTGAACTCTTGCAGTTCCAACTCAATTTAATCCTGTTTCAGACAGACAGGTCTGAAGTCTATCCGTTCTGGTATCTGTAAGGTTACCCACCTACTCAAAAAATTTCGGCTGGCTCTACTTTGTGCCACACAAAGAAATAAGCTTATTTTAACATTGCTATTATAACTAAAACAATACAGTTGGATGTCTCTTCCTGCTAAATGGCAATCTGGTTTCCCTAGCTTAAATATAATTGTTGCCCAAGTATTTAGTAAGAATGTTTCTACCAAGGATTGCAAATCAATTTACAGAGCAAACTCAACTCAATTATGTCACTTTGTAAGCTTTGTTTTCTCAGTCACAAAAATCATAGAAATGTAGGACTGGAAGGGACCTTGATAAGTCATCTAGTCCATCCCTTGCACTGGGGCAGGACTAAGTATTATCTAAATCATCCCTGGTTTCTCTAACCTGTTCTAAAAAAATCTTTGGTGATGGAAATTCCACAACTTCCTTAGATAGTTTTTTCCAGTGCTTAACTACCCTACCCTTATGTTAGGAGGAAGTTTTTCCTAATGTCTAACCTAAGTCTCCCTTGCTGCAATTTAAGCCCATTACTACTTGTCCTGTCCAGAGTGTTAAGAACACTATCACCCGCCCTATTCATAACAACCTTATGTCCCCCCTTAGTCTTCTCATCTCCAGACTGAAAAAAATTGGGTTTGTTTAATCTTCCCTCATAGGTCATGTTTTCCAGACCTTTAATCATTTTTCGTTGCTCTTCTCTGGACTTTCTCCAATTTGTGGACATCTTTCCTGAAGTCTGATGCCCAGAACTGGACACTGTACTCCAGGGGTCGGCAACCTTTCAGAAGTGGTGGGCCGAGTCTTCATTTATTCACTCTGATTTAAGGTTTCGCGTGCCAGTAATACATTTTAACGTTTTTAGAAGGTCTCTTTCTATAAGTCTATAATATATAACTAAACTATTGTTATGTAAAGCAAATAAATGGTTAAGCTTCATTTAAAATTAAATTAAAACGCAGAGCCCTCCGGACCGGTGCCCAGGACCCGGGCAGTGTGAGTGCCACTGAAAATCAGTTTGCCTACCCCTGCTGTACTCTAATTGAGGTCTTATCAGTGCTCAGTAGAGTGGACGAATTAATTCTTGTGGTTACCTTTTCCGCTCCTGCTAATACATCCCAGAATAATGTTCACTTTCTTTACAGCAGTATTACATTGTTGTTGACTCATATTTAGTTTGTGATCCATTATAACCCCCAGATCCTTTTCTGCAGTACGCCTTCCTAGGCAGTCATTTCCCATTTTGTATTTGGCAGTTAATTATTCCTTCCTAATTGTAGTATCTTGCATTTATTCTTATGCATTTCATCCTATTTATTTCAGATCATTTCTCCGGTTTGCCAAACTCATTATGAATTCTAATCCTATTCTCCAAAGGGTTTGCAACCCCTTCCATCTTGGTATCATCTGCAAACTTTAAAAGCATACTCTTTGGCCTGGTCTACACTAGGAAATTAGGTCAATATAATTATGTCACTCGGGGGTGTGAAAAAATCCATACCACTGAACAATGCAGTTAAACCGATCTAACCCCCAGAGTAGACCGCACCCATTGACCTAGCTACCGTGACTCGGGAAGGTGGATTACCTATGCTGATGGAAGAAGCCCTCCGTTGGCATAGATAGTTTCTTCACTGAAGCACTACAGTGGTGCAGCTGTACCAGTGTGGCATTTTCAGTGTAGACCAGCCCTCAATGTTATCCAAATCATTTATGAAGATATTGAATAGAACCAGATGCAGGACAGAGCCTAGTAGGACCCCACTCAATATGAGCTTGATTGTGAACCATTGATAACTATTCTCTGAGTATGGTTTTCCAAACAGTTGTGCACCCACCTTATAGTATGTTTGTTGAGGCTTTTTTCCCTAGTTTGCTTATGAGAAGGTCTTGTGAGACAGTATCAAAAGCCTTACTAAAGTTGAGATATATGGCATCTGCTGCTTGCCCCCATCCACACAGCTTGTTACCTGTCAAAGAAGGATATTAGGTTGGTTTGACATATTCATGTTAACTGTTACTTGTCACTTATCTTCTAGGTGCTTACAAATTGATTGTATTTGCTTCATTATCTTTCCAGGTATCAAAGTTAAGCTAACTGGTCTATAATTCCATGGGTTGTCTTTATTCCCCTTTTTATAGAGAGAAAGGTGTTTCCCTTTTCCAGTCTTCTGGCATCTCTCCCATCATCCATGAGTTCTCAAAGATAATTGCTAATGGCTCAGCAATCTCTTCAGTCAGTTCCTTAAGTATTCTAGGATGTATTCAATCAGGCCCTGCCAATTTGAAGACATCTAACCCGTCTCAGTAATTCTTAACTTGTTCTTTCCTTATTTTAGCCTCAGATCCTACCCCATTTACTCTGATGTTCACTACTTAGGCTTTCTGCACCTAGTACATGGAAGAGAGCAGAATGGGTCTACTGAGCAGTCGCTAGTTATTTCCTTCCATGCTTACTTTCCTCCATTCCTATTCAGAAATCCATTTTTATTCAGATCTACAGAAAGCCCTCAAAGGGTGGTAATAAAGTACTAGTACAACACTGCCAGAGATTTCAAATGAAGCATGAGTACTAGTGCCCAAGTCTGAAAGATTTATTTTGGAGGTGGGTATCAAAATGAGTATAATACTTGGAATAGTACCTTGATTCTTTTTACATAACTAGAATCAAAACAATACTTATGAAGTGGGGAACATATGCCAATTTGGCTAAAGAAAACCTTAACTGGGGGCACTACTACCCATGAGTCTAACTACAGGCGATTTTAGTAACCCTGCTATTGTAAACACTGAACAAAGACATCTTATATCTAAAAGAGTAACAATGCCACCTAATTCCAGAGCTGACTGTGATGGTCCAGTCGAGGTTGCAATCCAGACCAGTGGTTGTGTGACCACTTGCCCTGCAATCCTGGATGCCTTAGAATGCCTTGCTACTGCAGCTCTAAGCCTAGAATGTTCAGTCAGTAAGGAAGCATGGAGGTCACTTCTGAGCATCTGTGTACTTAGATAGCTATAGTTCAACAGCTCCGATACCAGCAACCTGTCTTCAGCTGCACAACCTCTGGCTTCCACCAGCATTTATTACAAACAGCAAGATGATCCCTGTATGGGAAAACTGTTATGTTTTCTAACTGTATATTGTGTTATGGTATCATTTTAAAAATTTGTTCACAATCGCCATTTTGAATTCTGTAAAGTTGTTGTTTGGGAGCCATGTTGGTCTCTCTTCTTGTTGGGCTTTTGGCGCCCTTTTTCTGTAAGGCAGGAAAAGATTGGTCATGTGATCCATCAATTCTGCCTGCAGACAAGAGAGTATGTAAGCTCCTCTCGTAGGCTATAGGGTGCTGTCCATCATGGTGGCAGCCCGCATCTGCATCGGTCATCGTGAGCAGTCTCCGAGAGGCAACACATCAACTCACCCCTACTTACCTGAGATTGAGGGATTCTGGTCCAGCAGCCGATTTGATCCGTGTTCCTCCTGTGCACATTACCAGGCACAGTAGAATGTCCGGGTCGTCCACCGCACCAGAGCTGAGGCAATCAGTCGGACATGACCCTCCCTCCGTGATTGGCGTTTCATCTGTAAAGTATAGATTTCTTGACTGTTAGTCCATAACTTCACGCCCTTGATTACGAACCATTGGGTGTTCTTTACTTACCTGTACCTAATAAACTGTCTTTTCATTCACCTTTAATCTTGTCCTTCTTCAGTTTCACTGAGACCATATCTGACAGACTCTAAATACGGGATAATCCGAACTTCCATCATTAGCAGTGGTCCTTTAATACATCCCTTTAATTCCCTTTTTCCCTAACAATCCCCAATACACTCCCAGCCCTGAATTTTTTCCTAACCGTGTGCCCTGCAGTGTTGAGGCCTCTCCTGGACAGCACAGAGAAACAATAAGGTTTGTTGTTCCTGTAAAAAGACAAAACCCACCAGTTTATCACTAACTGGAGTTAATACTCCAAGTTAAAGACACCACTAGATTGGTTTATAGTAAAATAATAATAAACAATTGTATTAACAAAAGAGCATGAATTAAATGAGTGAACTGAATGAGTTCAAGGAAACAACAAAACAAAACGTGCTTTCTTATGGCTAAGATTTAACAAACTACTGTCTCGTTTCAATGTAAAAAAATCCTTACCATGTGTTGTCAACAAAGTGACTCAAAATGGCTGACCACACCTTTGGCCAGGATCTCTTCACAGATAAAGAAAGGCTGGCTTCCCTTGTCTTCCCTAGTGAAAGATCTTAGATGCTAGCCGCCCCTTATGCTATAGTCCAGTTCCCAGAGACTCCAACCCCATCCTTGAGATGAAGGACCAATCTCAGCTTCTGAAAGCTCTTCCCTCCAGCATCTGTCCAGTGAAGGATGCCTAAAATGGCTTTCTGTCCTTGCTTATTTCTCCCAAAGTTCCATGACCTTGATTCAATAGGCAGGAAGCCCTTGTGTGCGCTCAGTTGGCCTTAGACTGAGTTCCTTGTGTCTCACTATATTAAGAATTATAATTTCAATTTATGTCCATACCTTTGCATCAGCTGCTTGCACCTACATTATATAATTATATTAATAATGAGTTATGAGCTTTCTAGGACTGATTACATTATAGCTTTTAGATACAGATTATAAACAATAGTGAATTGGGGTACACTGAGCTGGTCAGGCCAGCTGGAATTCACTGCTAGATATCAGGGTGCCCCTTGCACTATGCCATTGGGCTGTTTCTTAATAACACACTGGACCTAAAATGCTCTTCCACTGGTCCCACTGCAAGTTACTCTTGAGACCATCAACTGAAGCATTCGTAAACAAAACCCCAAAAGAGGGCAAGGTGGAGAGATGGTTTCAGAGGTCAACGGGTCCTAACTTAAGGGCTTTTCTAGAGAATACTCTACACCTTGAATTGACCCCAAAAATGAACTAGCAGTGACTAAGAAGCTTGTTACACAACTTCAAAACTTTTAATCACTCTGCCTGAAGGACAACTTGGGGAAGCTGCATACTGTCCTAGATTTAATGAGTAGCCCCAAGTAAAATAAATTAGTTAGGTCTACCTAAAATAATGATAACCAGGGTGAGATTTATATCTGGAAGAAAGACATTAGGGAGAGCCCTGCTGCCCCAGCAATAGATTCTGACTGTTCTCCTGTGGCTCCTTGATTTCCAAATTTACAGTTGCATTTAAGGAAAAAAAAAAAAAAACTTACTATAGGCCACTTGTTAATTTTCAATTCCACTGTAGAATAGAGTTTTCTGAATGCAAAAGGACAAAACTGACAAGGAGATCTTCTAAGCTTCAACAAGGGGATGATGCGTTTCTAGTGGTGTCCTGCAGGGATCTGTTCTTGGCCCTCCACTATTTAACATTTTCATCAATCACCTGGAAGAAGAAAAAATAATTAATAAAGTTTGCAGATTACACAAGAATCGTGGGAGTGGTAAATAATGAAGAGACCAGGTCAGTGACCTGAGTCATTTTATATGGGCATAAACTTTTTAATGCAGCTAAATGTAACCTCTAGGAACAAAGAACGGAGGCCATACTTACAAAATGGGGGACTATCCTGGGAAGCACTGAATCTGAAAAGGTCTTCAGGGTCATGCTGGATAGTTAGCTGAAAAGGAGCTCCCAGCGCAACACTGTGGCCAAAAGGGTTAATGTGATCCTTAGTTGCATAAACAGGGGAATAGTAGAAGCAAATAGCAACTGTTATTTTACCACTGAACTGTGACCACTGTTGGAATCCTATGGCCAGTGCCTGTGTTCACAATGTAAGAAGGATGCTGATAAATTGGAGAGGGTTCAGAGAAGAGCCAAGGATTAGAAAACATGCCTTAGACTAAGTTCCTTGTGTCTCACTATATTTAGTTTATCAAAGAGAAGGTTAAAGGGGGTTCTGATCACAGTCTGTAAGTACCTACATGGGAAATAAATATTTGATTATAGGCTCTTCCAATTTAGCAGAGAAATGTAACAAATACAATGGCTGGAAATTGAAGCTCAACAAATTCAGACTGGAAATAAGACAATTTTTTTTTAAACAGTAAGGGCAGTTAACTGATAATTTTGATCAATTCTCCATCACAGGCAAGGTTTTTCAGTCAAACTGGATGATTTTCTGAAAGATAATCTCTAGGCAAATAGGAATTATTTTGGGGAAGTTCTATGGCCTTTGTTACACCGGTGGTCAGACTAGGTGATCACAGTGGTCACTTGGGGCCTTGAAATCAATGAAAGGGCATTGCAAACAATATCTTAAAATCAGAATTATGAATGACAGTGCCTTATAGAGTTATAGGGAAAGCATTAAACTGCCCATTGAGTTAGAATGTAGAGAAGTTCATATCTGTTGGATAGAGGAGCAACAGGAAACCTGTGAGGCGCATAGCAGTATGAGTGCTCATACTTTGCTATTTACATAACATGGAAGAGTTCCTTTGATGCTTTTCTTCTCACAACACAAGATCCCAGCAAACGGAAGAGGTCCATCTCTGTTTACTTTCTACCACACAGTAGCGTTGACAAATAATGGGCAAAATTAATTCCTTTGTCAATCCTCCAGTTACTTCCTTAGAATTACAGCAGGAATTAAGTTTGGTCTAATGTTTGTACAGATTTTGGAGATCTAAGAGTGCTAATTTATCGATGACTATATTTAGGTTGTGCAAAAACCTCATGCAGGTCTGAATAACTATTATTAATGTAAAGTGTAGACCTGGCCTTAGATTCTCTGCTCATGTTACTTTGTTTCCATATTTGGACGTTAATGCCTGTGTAGCGTGGCCTCCATAGCACACTAGGTCTAGCATGAGGGAAATCTACATTTCCCCCAATTTGTTTAGTGTCTGCCAAATCCGGTATTGGGCTTTCTCTAACTGCAATAGCACCTGCAATACTTACTTTAGGACAAACTGATCTTGGACCAGCAGGAATGCCAAAGTAAACAGCAGAAATTCAACAATGTTCATGTACTCAAGTATTTTGTAATTCCTAGAGGTCAGTTAAACTCAAATGTACAGTGTGTGTTATGAATCAGTATTTTTTTTTTAAACAATAAAAGACACACCCTACTTTTGAGCCACTTTCATGATTGTTTAATTACACCGACATATCAAATAGGTCAATTGACAAAATGGGAGAATTATGATCAACTGAAAAATCACTCTTAACTCCTATAATGTGCCAACAAGTGATTATTTTATCAACTCAAGCGTAATCAAAATAGGGCACTTCACAGTAAGTATCCACTCATTCTTGAACCAAAACAGGTGAGAATTAGAACAGGTTTGATTATTTTTGGTGTAAGTTTAAGTGTAGACCAGCCTATGTCAAAGTCAGGAACACTCACTCATTGTATGAGACCAGTATAAAAACTGGTCATTAGAAAGGTATTGTACAGAACATCAGAATTAGATGTGAAATATTAGAATAGACAACTGTGGGCTAATAAGAGGGGGATAGTGACTTAGTCCAGTGAATGCAACTCATTTTTTATACTTAATGCAGAATACCACCCAGCTCTTATCTAGCACTTTTCCACATGGCACTTCAAAGGAGTTAAGCATCATTATCCCCATTTTACAGATAGGAAAATGGAAGCACAGGGGTGAAGTGACCAATCCGAGGTCACCTAGTAGCCCAGAGCTGAACGAAGAATAGAATCCAGGTCTCCTGAGTCCCAATCTATTTTTCTGTCCACTAGACCACACTGCCTCCTGAGACAGCTGGCCAGATCAACTGGGATATGAGATTTAGATTTACTATAATCCCAATGGCAAAGTATTTGCAAACCTCTATGCAGGTGTTTAGTTCCCAAGAAAGAGTTCCACTTCTTCTTGGACATTTATGCCTCAGAATCATTTACATAATTATCAGGCTATCACAAGTGGTTGTTCTTGAACTTTCATAGGTGTGACCATATCCTTACAGGGTCTCCAGAGCCACTTTCCTTCCCCTTTGAAAACACAGCATGTCCCTCTGCCAACAAGTGGGCATTCGTTTCCCAGTAAGATCATACGCACATGCCTCACCACTGAGCCAGAGAGTGGGCTGTTGTGTCAATTCCACTTGGTTCTTAATGTAACTTTGCAGTATCCAATTGGTGGTAAACATATATGGGTTTGGTTTTAATTTAAAAAAATATATAGAGCTAAAGATTAAACCAGATTAACATTTTAAGATTACTGTAAAAAGAAGAGATATGGCTTTTTTGGAGGGGCTCATATGTGGATATTTATATGGTCACACTGAAGGACAATAGTTCAAATTTAGCACCTTGCATATTAAGATTGGTAGTCTAGTCTTCCAAACAGACCTACATGATCTTCAAAAAAATATCTTTTTAATTGGAACACAAGATTTGTAAACCAAACCTAACAACGGTCTGGCCTCCTCACAACTTTCAGTCAAAGCTGCTTGCAGTAGTAATTACGTAACTTGTAGACACATTTCACTAGGGAAAAACCCAGCCTCATTGAAGGAGTTATTTTTGGTGTGCCACTGCTATCAGTCAATTCTACTGTTTAAAACAAAGTACTGGAATTCAGAGCACTGTCCAGATAATAGTATAAGACTGAAGGATTTGGAAGAGCTCTTAAGAAATTATTTCACAGCCTTTACATATACCTAATGATAGAAAAAGCTAAAATAGTATCACTACATCATCCTAAAGAACAACAAAGAGCAGAACTAATGAAGGTTTAAGGTTCACTTGTGGAGGTTGGAAGTTACTTTGCATCTTAGCTTTAAAGTATTTCTGCTTCAAATTTATTTCATATCATGGGAACTACACTGTATGGTATTTGTGAACTGACACTGCGACTAGTACAGTTTCTTGTAATAGGATAAAGTGAGAAATCTCTTTTGTACGCTATTCCTTTGAAAATAGCTTAAAATTTGATTAAGAATATGTTTCCACAATAACAGTTGTGTTAACACACATTTTGGGCATCAGACACCAAAACCATCTAGTGGAAAAAGTTACCATAAAGTAAAATATTACTAAAAGGATACATTTAGGATCTAAATAAGACCTTAAACAAGAGTCCCATCTACTGTGTGTAAACTTGTAAAGACTCCATGGAAATTCAAGTCCTCGGACAGCAACATTTCCTCCTTCCTCCCATAGCCACCCCACTGTACACCAGGTGGCTGGATGCTATTTCAGACTGCTTTGAGGAGAAAGGTGCTTTTAAGTGCAAGTTACTGCATGTGACCAATGTTACATATTCTGTATGTAGACACAACATAAGCCTCTTTTACTTCAGGATCTCATTAGAAAAGGTTTGGGTTTTAGATGCTCAATTCTTTGAAACTCAACCTGGTACTTTTAAACAACTTCTAAAAACGACCAGCAACCTATGTTATAAACGTACAGCTAAGGGTAGCATAAAATCCCTCCTTTACCTGTAAAGGATTAATCCCTCCTTTACCTGTAAAGGATTAAGAAGCTCAGATAACCTGGTAGGCACCTGACCAAAAGGACCAATAAGGGAAGGGAAGGAGTGTGAGTGAGTGAGTGTTCTCCTTTGTTCTCTCAGGGTCCGGGAAGAACCAGGGCAGGAAAAAATACATCTTCCTAAGCCATATCTGAACTAAGCATCTAATATTACAGAAATAGTAAGTAATAGCAAGAAAATGCGTTAGATTATCGTTTGGTTTAGCTTGTGAATTTTCCCTGTGCTAAGAGAAGTTTATTCCTGTTTTTGTAACTTTAAAGTTTTACCTAGAGGGGAAATCCTGTTTTGAATCTTTTTGTTACCCTGTAAAGTTAGTTATCTTCCATCCTGATTTTACAGATTTTTTTTTTTTTAAACCTTCATTGTTTTTTCAGTCCTAAAGACCCAGGGGGGTTGATCTGTGCTCACTTTGTAACCAATTGGTTAGGATATTATTCTCAAGCCTCCCCAGGAAAGGGAGTGTAGGGACTTGGGGGGATATTTTGGGGGAGGTAGGGCTCCAAGTGGCCCTCCCTGAATGTTTGTTTAAATCACTTGGTGGCGGCAGCAATACCAAGGGCAAGGAAGGAATTTGTGCCTTGGGGAAGTTTTTAACCTAAGCTGGTAGAAATAAGCTTAGGGGGTCTTTCATGTGGGTCCCCACATCTGTACCCTAAAGTTTAAAGCGGGGAGGGAACTCTGACAACCTGCTTTCTTCTAACCATGATCAGTTAAAAGGCAGACTCCATGCCAGCTCACATTTTTAGCATGTGAAACAATAGCAGTAAGTGGCATACCTAATAAGGGCAATAGGTATAAGTGTCCAGTATCTTATACCACATATGGTGTAAGTGTTTAGTATCGCTGCATGAAACCAAATACTATTACTGCTGTATATTAAATTTTTTTATTTTTTGCATCCATTTTTGATTCTAGACAGACTCTTGCACAGGGGGCTCATATCCATCGGCTCGCTCTACTTTAGCGCCTGTCTCATCCCCCGAAGGTTTTCCAGTGCCACCACCTTCACCGTGCAGTTCCATCAGCTTGCCCACTAAAAAAAGCACAATATTGCAATTGTTAAGGATTGAGTATTCTTTGTATTAAATTCCCTGTCATCTATACACTGCAAGTTAAACACAATCATTTAAATAGGCCTTTTCTATACATCAAAATTGTACCACAGCTAAATCAGTAAGACTTGCCCATTTAAGAGTACCCACACAAGGAGGCTGCACTGATCCTTAACTTTTTTGTATTTAGACAAAGACATGAGAGCAAATAGTGGTGTATGAGAGTTTTGGGTAATTGAATAAATTAAGTCTTTCAAATATGCCATTAATAACTCAGTCCTGCATTACATGGGAATGTCAGAAAGTGGGAAAGAGTATAATCATTCGTTGTCATATGGGACCGAAACATGTTGTCATCATTCATTCCCAAACCAAACATTTAGTTGCTTCTTTTCAGCATTTTTATTTGGGTTCTTCAAGCAAAAACAAGAATATTCCAAAATGAAATATCATTTACAGGAATTCAGATTTGTTACTGAAGTCTCAGACTGTTAGGATAAGCCATTTATCAGTTTTAAGCATTCAAACATACAATGCTGCTTTCAGAAGGTTTCCTCAGTTCCACAATCACCAAACACATGCTTTGAAAAATATTGCTTTAACTTAACCTACCACTCAGTTAAATTCCACATTTAAGCAAAAATTAACTTACATTCAAACTTGGGCTTCTTAAGCATCTTCACTTTGCGGACATACACATCATGAAGAGGGTAGATGGATTGACAGGCTTTTTCTATGTCTTTGCCAATGCTGTCTGGGATCCTGAAAATAATCAAAGTTTTTCAGTATTTTTATAAAGTTCAAATTATTCAGTATTTAATATTCTCAACAGCAGTCCATCCCACCTTCCCTCCTGTGAGTTAAGAACTGGAGTCTTTATAAAACTAGACATTGCTGAAGTCTGCAGAAAGATCTGTGTGTCATGCAGTCTCTTCACAAATTCTCTTTTTAGATTTACATAATCAGAACAGTTTGGTGGATCTCAGATATGGTGCAGGTGGCAAAAGAGTATGCGTGGGGGGAACAGTATGTTAAGCTTCCCATAATATTGTTAAATATTTGGTTCCCCAACAAAAGTAGTTGTTGAGCCCTCAACCAGGAATGAAAATGACTAAGGCTCCTATTAAATTGTTTTACAAGATAGTAAGTTATTTAATTAGCAAATATTAATTAGTACATCCAGATACTCTAGCAGTCAGATTCTTCATCTTACTGCCCACAGAGGTGCTTTAGAGCAGGGGTCTCAAACACGCGGCCCGTTGGCTACATGCGGCCCACGAGGTAATTTTCTGCGGCCTGCAAGCTCCTCTCAGGCCCCCCACAGCGTTTACCTAGAGCAGCTCCGGCCTGTGCCGGGAAGCGGCCGGAAGGGGGGGGGGGGCGGCCACATTGGTGTGTTTGTTGATGTTGCTTCAGGCACCGCCCCCAGCAGCTCCCATTGGCCGCGGTTCCCCATTCCCTGCCAATGGGAGATGCTGGGGGCGGTGCCTGAGGCAACAGCAATACACACATCCCGGAACAGCGCGGGGACAGGGCAGGCTCCC